AGATTTCCGCATCCTTTTGGTAAGAAACTCTTAATATCCTTTTTCTGCCATGGAACTCCTTGCTAGTTCATTAAACCTTCTGTTTGGTGCTGTGTCCCTCTAATGATCCTTTTTGAACTTTTTTTTGGCCAAGTTCAATGCCTCTTCTCGGCTGCTATCTCTATCGACTAATTATGCGTTCCCCAGAATGCCGGGCAAACGACCCCAGAAGCCGTTCTGGCCAAAGGCTGACATCAAATTAAACAACGAAAAGTGACAGGAGTGCAACTGTGAAAGTGCAGCAAACGGCAAACAAGGACTACAAACAAAAGCCACCGACGAACATTGAACTCTAACTTTGGGAAATTATTGTGACAAGCACACGATTTCCACCTGTGGCTATGCACCTCTCGCTCGTGCCCCATGCCTCATGCCTCATGCCTCATGCCCCATGCCTCGTAACTCGTAACTGTTCTTTGCCAAAATGCAGTTATGCTCGCAGGTTGGTAGTTGGACTGGCCCGGACTGGAGTGGACTTTTTGCAACCCTTGGCCGTGTTTATAACTCTGCAGATCGCATAGACAAAAGGTCGTTGTCGCTGCCATCACATCTCAGAGGGGGAACCCAAAGGATTCCGTTCGCTCGGTTAAGTTCAACAAACTGTTTTATCAAAAAACTGTTGCACTTTCAAATAAACTAAGCTAATGTGCCGCAGGACCAAAAGGACTAAGTGGAAACAACCACAAGCTGATGAAAAATCCTTGGTAACACGAAATGATCTTTTTATGACAATAATATATACTCTTTTTTTCAAAAACGTGGGAATTACTTAAAGAAGATTTATATAGAAGACCATTAGATCTCAGATATTAAGTTTAATTCTTTATTTTTAAAACAATCTTCATAGCCAATGTAGCCTTTGGCAAGGTATCTTTAAAGCCGCTGAGCCAAGGGTCCTGGATGCAAGGCATGTGGCTTGCGCCACAAACGAGCCCAAGCACCAGGATTGCCGAGAAGACCCCAAAGGCACCGACCAATCAAGCTTCGGACCCTCGTGCCGCAGCTCCTCGGGGCCCTTGCCGCTTGGCTCGTGTCATCTGTTGAATTATAAAATATGGCAAGGAATTAATTTGGCCAGCCCCTGTAGCCCGGCAGAATCTGGCACAGCAGCAGCCGAAAAAGAGGGAGGAGCAGGACCAGTGGAGCGGCAGGATAACGATCCGAACCGATCCGAATCATCTACCGCTATCTGCCGAGCACCTGTCGTCCAATGCACCAATTCGAATACAAATTCGAATCTGGACTCGAATCCCGGTCCCAGTCCCAGTTCCAGCCTCAGTCTCGAAAACCAAAACGAAAGGTGCGCTTAAATTCTTATAATGACTTGACTCGCTCGCGTCTTCAACCTGCTGATCCCTGCCCCTGCCACCAGGAACGTGCAACCTGCCCCTAATGTTGTATCTTTGGCCGCAATTTGTTGCCCATTGTGTGCCTGCCTCCGTCTACTTCTTCTGCATCAAAATCTGTCTATAATCTGTATTTCTTTTTTTCTGGTCTGGTTTTGGGCTGATACGCAGTCGAGGCTAAAAACACCTTGTGATCTTTTTACTTTTTTGTGTCTCCTTCAAGGGTCTGTGGACGTCAGGGTCCTGCCGTCCCGGCGTCTTGCCCTGCCCCTTGACTTTGCACCTTTCCTGACAAAATCCGTACAAAATTTCGTGTTTAGATTTTGTCATTTTAATTGCGGAGGATTGGCTTTTGTTTGGGTCGCCTCTTGCCTTTGTTTTGTTTTGACCGTTGCCTTCGCTAAGCTCTCCGGATTGGACAGAGTAGTCTCTTTTTCTTCGGGCTTGCCAATTAAGCTGTTGGAATAGATTTCACAATTCTTCCCGGCCTTCTGGCCGAGGGTTGATTTGCATATCTGACTTGGATTTGTCACTGCATTGCCTTTGCCCTCTGCACTCAAATCGAAACAGCTTAAGATTTTCCAAGGGGGTGATGAAGACTAATCTACAACTTGCAGACTAGTCGTTGACATGGCATTCTCATGGCTTCCGATTTGGCCAGCGAACTTGGCCAAACTAACTAACGATGTCTTAGCCACTGAGTCACTAATGAAGCCTGGAACCAATCAAAATATGACTTCTGTAGAGACTCTTGAATGGTCTTCACCTCCCGAAAGGACATTTAATATTTTTATTGCAGCATATGCAGTCGTCACCTGTCCCTTAATGTCTATTAAGAATACCCCTTGAAACCATCGGAGACTCAGTTATATCGATATTACAAGATCGCCAGGTGACAATGCTCAATCAAACAAAAGCAAAGCAATCATAACTTATCAGCTCGAGCCTAAAAAAAAAATAGGAGGGGAAAAGGGACATCGGCTTGGCAATGGATGTGCAAGTGGTAGCCGAGGGCAGCTTGTTGAAATTGGGTCACTTTTGGCCAGGCAGTGGCAACAAAAGATCTTGTAATATCGATCGAGCGTGACAGGTGCAGTGGTGCATTTGCGATTGTTGTTGCTGCACCTTCGCCTCTGGATTTTGAGCGACAGCTTGTGGCCCAAAAGGCAGTGGCTGCGACTCCCCTGAGGGCCTAGATTAGATGCAGATCGAGATCCAGATATCTCTTCTCGTATCGGACGTATTTTTGCGGTCTGACCCGGTCGGAGGGGAGAGATTTTTACGACTGTTGCATCTTTTGGCTTCTGCCGTTGTTGCAATTGCTAGTGTTGCTGTTGCTGTTACTGTTGCTGTTGCTGGTGTCGTGTGGCCCATGTCAACTGGTTGCAGGTCGCCGATGTAATTTGCCTCTTGGCATATGGCTTTTGCCGCAAACCGGCTTTGAGCACGCGTCTTGTCTCGTCCTGGCTCAATAATTGCGCGACAGGTTCCAGGATTCCACCAGCAGCAGCAGCAACAGCAACAGTACCATCAGCAACAGCAGGTGCTCAATGCGGCTAAAGGGAATCGGGAATCAGCGCCAGGCTGCTTACAACGAAAGGACATAAACATAAATGAGCCGATGTAATATTGAGCCGCTGCTGCTGCTGCTGCTCCTTTTTCTTGAGCCTCTTCCTCGTCCTTGCCGCATCCCTTTTTGTCTGCCATCTCCCTCTATCTGTGCGTTACAGGTGCCTTTTCGAAGGCATCCCCTCCGCATTTTAATTGTGAGCCCAGTTCGCTTCACCTGCAACACACAGCAACTGACCTAAGACATCTTTTTTGCTCTTGCTCTTGGCCCGGCTCTTCACCTTTTTCTTCTTATATGTTGTTGTTGTTGTTTTTTTTTTTAGCCACAACTATTATTTTTATTAATAGCCAAAGTCAAAAGTCACCTGCTTGGCACCAAAAAGAACTCGAACTAAGGGTAGCCGGAAAACGGAACCGAGGGGCAAAAGGATACAGCATGTTGCGGGTTTTGGGCCACATTTTCTTCTGACCATTTCTAAGATCAATTTCCTCTTCTCTATTATTCCCGCACGGGTTTTCCATTGTTTGCGTTTTGGGGTTGCAGCTTTCGAGTGATAGCCATAGCCATTCTTTATTATCGAAGGGGTCTGACTCTCTTTCTTTCCATTTTTCCATGTGGGCTTGGCTCGAGTGGGGCTGACTGGCTGGCTGTTGAATAAATTCCAAACGGCATGACAAATTATGTGGGCTCAGGTGTTATGCGGCGAAAAAAAGGGGTTAATAAACCGAGAGTCACCGCTGCGGAGAAACTCCAGCATATGGCTGCAAACGCATGCCACTTATCGCTATATCTGGGTCTGCATTGTGGTGTGGAAGTAGACGATATTGTGACTATATCTTTTGATAGGAAAAGGATCAAAGATCACTTACAGTTTTCTACAAAGGATACTCTGAATTCTCAACCCTTTGCAGCCTTAATCTACTAATCTACTTTTAAACATACCACTCCCTCCTCTTTAATTATCCTCTAAAACTTCCCTTCGACCTTGAATCCTCCTGACAAATTCTTCAACTCCATTGATCACCTGCTATTGCATATGCAACAATTTCATCTATGGTACTGGGCATCTACATTCCTTTGACTTTTAACTCTTACTTTACTTTGTCGGCACTTGTCGGAAAGTCCTTGAACTGCATTTTTTTTGGAGCGGCAACAATTGAACGGCATACTTCTTGATCTCCTTCCTCGGTTTTTGTTCAATATTTTGTCAATTTCGATCAATTTGTGGCGTGCCAAAGTGAAAAGAACCACTCCGTCTCCGACTCCATCTCCGTCTCCAACTCCGATTGCAGAAAGTGGCCCCTTTTTGGTTGAAATCCTGCGGCTGGAGGGCTTCGCGATTTCTGATTGCGGCCAGCGATGAATGGCGATAATGAGGGAAGTCGGTGATTTGTAAACTGCCAAACTTCATTTCGGGCGTTTTAAAGTGCCGCAAAATGCATTCGGACATTTCGATTACCGAAAATTGCGATCAGCAGCAGCAGTCCTCAATGACCATTGCACTCGATTCCTCCAGCCTCCATCCTCTTACTCCTCCTCGCCAGACCTCAGCCTCCCTTTCTCACTTTATTTTTCGTCAGCAATTAGTTCGAACTTCGAACACTTATTGGCGTTTTCCCCCGGGAGGGAGGGGGATGGGCGGTGCCAGTGTACCTGCTGTAACGCGGCGGTGTACAAAGGACATTCCCCACATGCCACATTGGCCACAGATCAAAGATCACCGCGTCACCCGAACCAGGAGCCGTGGCAGGAGCTGCAACAGGAGCAACTTATTCCCCAACAATTGGGGACGTGCTGGAATTTGTCTATAAAATCAGGTTATGAGCCAAATCCCCTCAAGAAACAGGATTCCCCCGAAAATATATTTGGAGCGTTTTGGACAATTGGCAGGAATATGTGCGTCTGCAGAGGAGGAGGCTGTGTCCTTGATGCCCAAGAATGCTTCATTTTCATCATCACCGCTTTTGAATGGTAATTGAATGCCATAAATGAGGCCTTAAAGTATTACATTTTAATAAATTAAATCCATTAAAAAATCATTGAAATTCCTTGTTCTTGAACTTTGCATTTTATTTTCCAAAATATCATATTTAATCTACTAATAACTAAAATACAAATCATTGGGTAAATTATAAAATTATAATAATAGGCTACAAAAAATTCACAATAATCGTATAAATAAATGAGGATGGTAATCGAAACTAACTTAAATAAATAAAAATGCTTAAATTTTGACAAGTTTTTGGTCGCCAAGTGGTGGTTGTGTTCCTTGTTGATGTTGTTCTTTGGTACTTTTAGCTGCCAATTTTGGGTTACGTTTAAACCAAATCGATAGAGGTTAATGCAATAAGTTAATATTAGTCATTAGGCTAGGATCTATTAACAACTACAGAAAAGTCTTGTGTTTTGTTTACTATATACAGGCTTACAGTACTAGGGTTGAGCAGTAACTTAACAATAGTCATCCTAATCCTAGTTAAATCTTTGCGAAGGCCTAAACAAAACAAACTTTGGCTTCATAGCAACGACTTAGACGGGGATGAGCTCCTACATCTGAACTGGTTTGGGTGTGTGTCTCTTCTTGGAGGAGGAGGAGGATAAGGAGGAGATCCTGGTCAACAGCTGCTGCTGCTCACCTCCATCTTGAGCAAGGTCGGGGGCATGTCCAGGGGCTTGAGGTCCTCGTTGGAGGCCTCCTCGTGGCGGCTCTCGCGATGCCTCCGGAGATCCACTTTGCGCTGGAAGGACTGATCGCAGAGTCCGCAGCCGAAGGGCTTGTATCCCGTGTGCTTCCTCATGTGCGTGATCAGGTTGGAGCTCTGGCTGAAGGCCTTCAGGCACACGGTGCACTTGTGCGGCTTCTCGCCTGGAAAACGGAGTCAAGGAAATCGATAAACACAATTAGTTAAATGCAGGTTCAAAGTTTATTAATTGTGCGGTTCGGCAGCTTTACAGCAATTAGGAAAATGGAAGGGCGATAGGGATCAGGAGGGGGTGAGTTTGTTTGCGTTGACACATTTGCCGCCAGGACGAGGAGTCCGTGGGCAGGCTTTGATTTCCCCGTGGAACCCGTGAAACCCGTGGAACTGGCAACTTACCGGTGTGTATGTAGGTGTGCTTCTTCATGTCGGACTTCTGGTGGAAACGCTTGCCACAGTACTGGCAGGGATAGGGCCGGGTATCACTGTGGATGAGCAGATGCGTGGACAGGGTGGATGAACGCTTGAAGCTCTTGCCACATTGTTTGCACTGAAAGAAACAAAAGGGCAGCAATGTTAAATAAATGCCACAAACAGAACGAGTCACGATTAGGAATCGCAAAATCCCCCATATTTGTACAGCCTGGTTTGCCTCGCACCCGAAAGCCAAAAAGCTAAATAAAATCTGAATAGAAATGCCAAGAATATACTTGGCGCTTTTTGTGTGTCTGAACCAAATTCTCAGTGGCAACATGAATTAAACTAGATTTGTGAGTGCTCAAATATTTGTCGGGCAGGTGACGACAACCCCCAGCCACCCAGCCATCCAGTCGATGAGGGAAAACCCAAAGCCAAACTTTGTACCTCCACATCATCCAGATAGGTTATTTTTGCATTTCTGTCTCACTCGCTAGATGTCAGGCACAAAACAGCTAAGTAAACAGGTCGAGGGGGGGTCTACAGACTAGAGAGAGATCCAATGCTAAATCTCAAGTCAGGCGGCGATGTATTTGTGGGCCAAACACAGCTGGGCCAAGTGGATCGATCGCGGATTGGGCGACACTCGAAAGATCCAATCCCCCAAGCTCTGTAACATCTTCTGGCCAACTCGGTCTGTCTGTTTGTCAGATTAAATGTTTAAACAGTTTGCGTGTTGCAGCAACATCCCAGTCTCTAAACATTGACACACTGACTCGACTGTCCCCCCACATCGCGGCTCAAATCGTTCATCAGCAGCTCGGCCTACGTGGGCGACATTTATTAAATACTGGAGGGAGCCTGTATGGAAGGCTATTTTGTTTTCCAAAAAAACAAAAAAAAAATGCGTAATTGTAAATTGACACAAGTGTCTCATATTTTGAATTTCTACCATTTTATTTATTTTCTGATGGCTTTTGTTTTTTTGGGATTTTCTATTTGCGCATTGCATTGGAGTGGACCATATCCATATCCACGTAGCCGCAGAAGTAGCTCCACATTGGCTAGTAGCTAGATCCGGGCCCAATTAGTTGGCCTATTGTTAAGCTGCGCTCTGAGCCGCAGTGTCAATATGCTTAGCTTCGACAAGGGAGCGGAAGTTGGCGAAACTCGAACAAAAAGTCGAAAAGTCGCAAAGACATACAGAGTCGAGGAGAAACCCCAAAGTCTGAGTCAGCCGGGTGGCCCGCCTACAGGGAACAGATGTAAAATACGAATTACAGAAGAAAAAAACTCGAAATTATCCATAAAACAAGGAAAACTCTACCCCGAGTCTGAGACAGAGCCTCAGCCAGAGCCTAAGCCCGCGCCTGCGCCTGCGCCTGCCACTTAACCCTGACCATATGGTCCTGGAAACCTTTCTTGCTGCTGGCCTATCGCATTTCACTCGAATGTGTGAAAAAAACAAAAGAGGAAAAAAACAAAAAATAAGGACTCGCTGCAGCGGGTGTTGATGGATATGAACGCAAAATGACATCGGGGGTAGGCATCGATGAGGACACCCGGGTGATGCCTTCTCGAATTCCAAGAGGGTCGGTCGGGTCGTGTGCCTCGACTCAATCCAATAACGAAATGACAATTATGATTGTAATTTGTACATAAATCTTCGAGGGGGTCACCCACAGCCCCCACACTCCCGCTAATCAAAATTATTTGATTAACTAATTGCGTGATTTCGATGGGACTTAATTGAATTTCCATAGAGCTCTATCACTATTTTATTACAATATTTGCTGTGCCACTTTTCCAAATTGAAAGCGGGGAGCAGTGGAGAGTGGAGAGCTGACAATTAAAACACTCGAGGACAAAATATGAAACAATTAACACAGGGGAATACGTTTAAGGACACGCAACCTTACGCAAGGATATTACTCCACGCGAAAAGGGTTGGAGGTGTTTGGACTCCCCCCTACTCTGGGGCACGTGATAGCCCCATTAGAGACAGATCAGAGATTTGGCCTCGATTTCGTGTTTGCCCCAAAAATGATATATCCTGTTTGACTTTCGTTTCTTACCTGGAAATTCCTGCCACTGCGCTTCTCCTCGCCCTCACCTTGGTACGAGGACGAAGAGGATGAGCGACGTGCAACATCTGTGGCCGTTGAGTCAGGATGTTGCTGCTGCTGCTGCTGATGTTGCTGCTGCTGCTGCTGTTGCTGATGATGATGATGATGCAACTGTTGCTGGTGCGTCTGCTGGTGTGGATTACGCATGTAGCCGAACTCGGCGGCAGCCACCAAGCCCATCAGAGCGGCTGCCGAACGGTTTTCCTGGTGCTCGTCCTTGATGTGTTGCTGCTGCTGCTGTTGGTGTTTCTGGTTCTGCTGCGACTTCAAGTGCTGGGTCAGCAGCTCCAGATTGCTGCCCGTTAGCCCGGCCATAAAGGCGCTGCGATGGGCGTACAACTGCTGCTGGGCCACCTCAAAGTCCAGATCCTGGCCAGAAGTGGAAGGCGGCGCGGAGAGCGAGGAGATCGGCGATTGCAGCGACGAGACAGAGGCTGCAGTCCTTCGCTCATACTTGAACTTCCGTACAATGGGGTCCACCTGGTGCTCCTCTTCTCCCGCTTCTCCCTCCAGCTCTACATCCTCCTCCATTTTCAGAGCCAGTTGCTCCCTTCGCGCCGATCTCTCGCACATCGAAGCCGGCGACCAAATGAGATTGCCCTGCGATCGCTGCCTCTGTTGCTGCTGCTGTGGTGTTCCCGAGCTCTTCAGATTCACCGCCCTCAATGGGGGCGGGGTCACATTCAGGGCTGCCACCGGATGCAGTGGCTCCACGTCGCTGCTGGAGCTGCTGCGGCTGCTGTTGTTGCTGCTGCTGCTGCTACTGCTGGTGATGTGCAGGTGATGCTGGCCGTAGTTCTCCTGGTCGGAGATGCGCCCTTTGGTGCTCAGGTTCAGGGGCATGTCCTCGTCCTGCTCCATCTCCTGCTTGCCGATCTGCTGCATCTCGTGCTCCTTCTCAGGAGTGAGAGCATAGTCCCGATCACGCTGACCTGCCACCAAGCCAGCCGGTGACTTGGGGGTCATGGGGGTCAGAGGAGTGCCCAGAGCAGTGGCCGAAGACAGAAGGAATTGGGGCCACAGCAGGGCACTGGAGTAGAGCAGTGGGTTGTACAAAAAGGGCAGATCTGTGAGACAAAAGTGGGGTTTTACAAGGGTTTTAGTAAAGTATATTGGTAGTAACAGATCTGCCCAATAAGGAAAGTCGAGAGTTGATCTTTGGGAGCTTATCTTTCATGATTATTAATTATTAAATATAATATTCCTTCTTTCAGGACTCACCTCTTCCATTGAGCTTCTGGGCTGCGGCTGAGGCTATCACGGTATTGAAGGCGGATGCACGCTGCATCCACTGCTTGTCCAAGGAGGCTCCATTGTAGCCCATGCCCGCCGGACTCGGCTGCTGGGAGTGCGGTGATGGTGGCGGCGATAGATGATTCATTTTGAGTCTTGACTGTTTTTTACTCTTCACTGGCTTTGATAATTTTCAAATACTTGTTGTATCTTTTTGGTAATACTCTTGGGACACTCGGATGACACAAATCTCACTGTTTCACTCTCGAACTGATCTCTGGAATTTTGTGCGGATTCTAGACTCGAAGGAGGCGAACACGTCCGTATCGCTCGGTGCTTCGCACCTGACTGAATCTTTGGCCGATTGCTCGGTTCTAAATTGAGCCAACGGTGAAGCGGCAGTGCCTTGGCTCGACTTGGCCCGAAAAAAGGTAAAAATCGAGGTGAGTGTGCTGGTAGTAAGCCAGTGTGTGTAAGTGTATGTGAGTGGCAGCAAGCCGAATCAAAACGAGCCCTCTTTGGTGGTGGTGGCTCTGTTGGCCCTAACCTGTCTGTGTGTGTGTTTGTGTTACCAACTCTGGTTTTTCACCTTTGGCAGCAGTTGGCGGCTGTTGCAGTTGCTGTTGCTGTTGCTGCTGCAGTTGTCCTGCACAGTTAGGAGCCCTCTCGCCACTCACCCCTCCTTTACCCCTGGTCCTATCAGGGACTTTGATCGTGCCTCTCATTGTTGTTGGCAGCACGCGTTTCCTACTAATTGGTATGCAGTTAAAACTTTGGCGGGCGTTTGTTTTCTTGTCCTTTTCCCGCTGCATTGTAACTGTTACAGTTGATGTTGCTGCCCCTGCCCCATGCCACTGCTGTTTGTTGCTGCCACCAACTGTTGTTGGCTGGGAATCGGCAGGAGAGTAGGAGAAAGGGCCATCGATCGACGGAGGATTTCGTTGCCGATCGCTAATAGTGGAATGCAGGACGAGGGCGGCTACCGGGAGGGGTGACTTACAAATATTTATAGTATGTCCAAGGATCTGCAGATTCAACATCTGTTGTTTTTAGACTTAAAATCCATCAACCAAGAAATTTCTCTTGAAAAAATGCTAATTTTTGTTATAAAATTTTAATAAAATTTGAATAAAAATCAACTTAAAATCCCTTCTGTATTTATAAAAATTTATATCTTTATCCCAAAGAAAGTTTTAAAGTAATTTAAAGCAAATAAAATTAGCTACAATGAAATATACCTACACTAATCAGTTATTGGTATAGCCTCTTTAAAAAATGTACCTTAAAAAAGTCAACTTAAAAATTCTAGATATTTTTTTATATCTAAGAAAAACACTTTTCCAATTTACAGTCTTAACAATAGAAGCATTTCTGATGCATTCAGTTGTTTACAAAATACTATTTTTGTTTAGAATCTACATCTATCGAAAGTTAGTTATATAGATCTTAAACCTCAATTAAACATAAAGTTTTTAAAAAACTTAAATGTTATAAAGTACACAAAATATTAAGATATTTTTAACTAAAGTCTTAATATTTCTGAAGTAGTTTTTCTCCGATTTTAAAACGCATTTGAATCTCAGATATATTTTACAAGATAAAGTAGTAAGGAATGTGATTTTTTTTTAAAATATGTACATCGTTATTCTCTAAATTTAAGTCATTTAATTTCAAGTTAAAGTTATTTTTAAATTAAATATTGATTTGCTTTATTTTATTTAATTAATTCAACTGTAGAACAATATATCCTCAAATTTCTAATTAAAGGCAAAAACAGAATCGGTAAAGCATTAAATATATGTATATAATCTTCAAATTTAGTTCCACTCTAGGATAATCACGAAATTAGAGGTTTTTGGGAAGAGACCCCTAGCCCTTTTCGAATGGAAACGCTCCACGGGCTAGCACCTGCCACTTTCTCAATTTTTTTGTAGCGTCCTGGCGGCTGCACCTTTTTCCCTAGCCCAAGCTTATCCTTCCGCTCGTCTTCGTCCTCTTCCTGGTCCTTCGCCACGCTTGGCCACCTCGTCTTGGCCGCCTCAATTCCAGTTTATCTATCCTTGGCGCGGGCCGGGCCTACACCTGCCTAGAAAATGAAGAAGTGCCTGGCGCACTCTTACACATTTAACGATCCTTTTTCCAGCGGGTGCGCGTCAGCAATTTTTATTCCCCCCGCTCTTCAGTTTTTTTTGGCGCAATTTCCTTGAGAAGGACATGTGCAGAGGACAACATTCCTTCGGACACGAGACCGCCACGGGTCCGAGCTCGACTCCCAGTCTAAATTTGAGTACGTCGAGCTAGCGGAGCGTGCGAATGCGGCACGAGGCTCGAAAGCGGGCCAAAACGAGGGAATTTTGTGGCACGATGAGGGCTGGCCACGATGCGCTTGGCAGAGTTCTTGCCCCTGGAGGGCTAGGGCGCGTGCCCCTACCTCTAGTGCCACTAGCTCATCCCCTATGGCTTTGTAACGGATTCGCCTTATGCCACTGACATCTATCATCGTTTGATATGCGCAGTCGCAACAGTACACTGTTAAAGAAATTTTTTAAAGAATTTATTTTAGGAAAATAATTAAGTCAAAAGGCATATCCATGTAGGGGATAAACCTTAACAGAGACCCATCAGGGTTTACTTTTAAAATTAAATGAAATCCTTAAATTTTGTAGATAAGCTTAGCTAAGACCCATATATCTTATACATTTTCTAACCCTAAAACCCCTTTTTTTCTCTCAGTGCATCACTGGTAAAACAGATCAAGAGTCGCTACCGATTTCCCTCTTTTCCATCGGGCGACATTTTATTTACGACACCCTCGGAGCCAGCCTTTGTTTGCTTTTCTCGCTCCCGGTCGAGCAAATCCCACGGAAATGCCGGTGCACTCTTGGCTAGTGCCTGGTGGCTGGTGGCTCGTGGCTCTCGGCCTGCTAATCGCTGATTGGCCAAAACGCCGCCAAGAGGGTCGGGCGACGCGCACACCCATACACGCTACTGAACTGTATCTGTGTGTCGTTTAGCTCACCTGGTGAGGTGAGTTTCTGCCCTGCTTGGCCGTCTGTGTGGGCTGCGTGGACCGTTAGATGTTGGATTGGTTGACTGGAAATTCATCCCGTGATGAATTGTTAGCTTGGCCAAGTGAATGGTGGATATGAGCAGTGGCAATGGGACAAGATCTTTATGACTTTGAGAGGTGGGTTCTATAGGTTTTGGCTTATTTCATAGAGAGCTTTGTTATTTTTTAAAAATATTTTATTATATTTTAAACTTGTACTTATTTAAGATAACTATTTTTAAGTAAATTTGGGAGTATTGTTTATAATTCAAATAGTAATTCTAGACTCTAGACCCTTTTAGAGCAATAAAAACCACATTTAAAATATTTAAAAAATATGGTTTTCTTTAATTTTAAACTATTTTGTGTAATAAGTCTAAATTTTATTATAAATATGGTGTTTCAATTAAACCAATATATTCTTGAAAAATAAAATTTGTTAAAATATTCAAAAGCCATCCAATTATCTTAAATCGTGCCACTTCTAATCCCATCTATGCTAATAAGTTTAGCTTCCGAAATACCTAACCGCTGAGATTCTTTAACTTTAGCTTTGCTACTCCCCTCTCCCTGGTCTATAGTTGTTAACTGATTTATCGCAGTATCTGCCGACATCGTTTAAAGCACCGAGATGCCATTTAAGTATTCCCTATTTGTCTCCCAGTGGGTGCTGGCCAAGTGGCTTCTGCCGGTTGAAAATTCCTTAAAAACAAATCAGACGGAAATCTGTAATAAATTTATTATTATGTAGCCTGGTAGCCATGCGGATTATAATTGTCTTGGCAACAAATGGTGGCCGGAACGGATGCCCATGGCGAGGCGACTGTGGCCACCGCCCCGGCTACTGGTTATGAGCACGACCAGGAGGAGCAGGAGTACTTCACAGTCCCCAATCCCCAATCCCCATTCCCCAGCTCTAGGCCCAGTCGGAGTCGCTGTCGCTGTCGTCGGTTCATATCGTGCAGATTGTTGGCAATTATTAAAATGATAATTGCACAAATCTGGCTATCAATTGACGACCATCGAAGACCTTAGACCAGCCGCGAGCAGCGGCCAAAACGAGCGAAAGCCGCGCACAAGAAGCCCAACAAACCAGGCCCAAAACGCATGCGCAGATGCAGTCAACGGTTTCGGGTTTTGGCTTGGTTTCTGGCTTCGTTTCCCAGTCAGTGACAGTGCCAGAGCCAGTGCCAGCTTCCCAGTAGGTTTTAGTCCAGTCTGGTCTTATCATGCGGTGCGGCTAGCGCTGTGCAGCTTTTCGCCGCGGCAGCGTTGACAATTTGGTATTAATTTAAGACAACAGCAGCGAACCAGGCCCACCAGTCCAGCAGTCCCGGCCAGCAGAAAGTTGGCCACATGGGCCGTTGCTGGCCAAACAAAAGACGGACATTTACATGCTGCCAACGAGGCTAACAATGAAATCTGCGTAGTTTGTGTTGGCCCCCAAAGAGGGGGCGTAAAGGTGAAGTTGGAGGAAGCGGGTCAAGATGCTTAGTCAGGCCTAAAAGTATGACCAGCAGTAAATTTAAAATTTTTTAAATATTTTTTAAAAGTGCAGAAATTAAACCCTACTCTTATAATTCATTTATTTCTAGCCAGACAAGCACTTCAGCTAAGTCTAATAATACTCTTAATCTAATAAAATCTTGGCTTAGCTTTCTTTTAATAAAAAGATACCCTCGAAAAATAAAACTTTATTCTATTTATTTTTTTTTTAAATACTTTTAAGTCCTCTGGTCACTTTTTCTAAAAGTCGTCCTGCTTTGGTTAGTTTCCTTTTGTTTTTGGCCAAGTTGTGTCCCTCCACTGCGTCTGGGCACAATTATAAAACAAAATTGATAAAATTATTGTTGGTGGCTGCTGCTGCTGCTGGGACGGGACTGCTACTGGAACTCTTTGTGGGCCCCTGTGTAGAAGCCACGATGGGCGATTAGGCCCAAAGCCAAAAGGTTGCAGTTTCCCCAACTGACCAACAAAGATTCTGGCAGTGGCTGGCAGGAAGGAAGGCTCTGCTCTTCCGACCTCGTTCGCATGATGAAAATCAGCTACAGAGCAGTCTATGGTAATAGGGATAGTATTCTTGTTCTGTCTGCTAGGTGGCCGACGAAAATTTATTTCAATTTCATTTGATATTAATTGCAAATGGCCTTAAGATTGAATTCCAGTGGCTTGCCTTATTTGGTGATCGAGCTGGAGGCTCAACAAATCGGGCCAGCAGCTTCTCACTAGGGGCTAGGGGGCTTGTTAAGATTGTGTTTGTTTCTTGGAGTTCCAAGGCCCACCAGCCTCCTCCCGGTCCAGAAAGGCGGCTGGCGCCAGTACAGCCATTCCGGGGCTACAAATAAGGTACCGACCCGGGGTCTCGCCCGCACAAATCTCTGACAGTTGAACGCTGTTTGTCCATTGTCGTTTGTCGGTTGTCGTTTGTCGTAATTAGCAGCCAAATAGTTGCCCAACCTCTGCCACCCAACCCCCAAAAAGTACCAGAAAACCAAGATCCAACTACCAATTGCCCCCACCTAGGGCTGTTTTGACCATTTCTGGCCGGGCTGTGCGAAAGTTCGGAAATCGGTAGGCTGACTTTCCAAACGGCAACCCACACGCTGACACAATTAAGCCAAACACATGTCGGCTTTGGCGGAGATAAGCCATTTATTAACTTTTCACAAGAACCTCCAAATGATGCCATAATCTCCGCTTACGGTTAGACATATGGGAGAGAAGAGACGGCTATCTGCATGGGCCCAAGATCCAAACGGATAGAATGGAACGGAAGAGGAATCACTGGGGAGGATACTTGCAGGACTATGAATACTCTAAGGTGATAGGGTCTTAAATTTAAAATCAATGATGTTTCATAATTAAAGTCTAAAGTTAAACCCTAAATAGATACAAATTCTATTAACTTCCATTGAAATAATATTATAATTAGATCATAGGACTTGAAAAAGTTGTAATGCCCTTCGGGAGCACTATAATTTAGTGCTGGATGGGACACTGCGGCTACTGTTTGGTTTCGGGGACCTCCAACGAGCGCCGCTTGACAAGATCCCAGGCAGCAAACAAGCCCAAAGAAGTGGAAGCTGAAGCTCAAGTAACAATTGAACTGCAATAAAACAATTTACCCAAAATAGCGTTTGGCCCAAGAGCAATCTGCTGGTTAACCCAGCATCAGCACTGATGCCGATGCACTGGAAGAAATATAAAAGATTTCAAACCATTTAAACCTATAGATGTATGGTGAAGTTCACTATCATTATGTTACTTTTGAAACTACATTTGAGTCAAGAATGATTTTTAAACCCGAAAACCAGTAACATCTATTGCTAATTTTTCAGCTACTATCTTTCAGTGTTCTACTACCACTGGGTCTGGACTCTTTGCAACATTTATCATTGAAATGTGGCGTGCGGTTCCTACGCAGCCGAGGAGGCTTTGCGGCACCAAAACGAGCTCCCGAAACTCTTTTTTGACTTTGGCGGTTGCTTTGCATATAAGCCCGGCTCGCAGAGGGGCTAATGGTGGGGCGGCGGGCGTGGTAGTTGGCCGATAAACTAGCCTGACTGGCCAGTCATCGCGTAAGTCAGAGGCGGCAGTCGAATGGGCCCGCAGGAAAATCAATTCATTGGCCTGAACAGATTTCCCTTTATCTGTGCCTCCAGCCTGCCAGTCTGTCGGTCTTTCTGCTCTTCTGTCTGTCGGTCTGGCTGGCTGTTTTCCTTTGGACTACTGATTTGCATATGTTTGGCTTCGCTTTGAGGAGAACTTGCGACAAAGGCTCTCATAATTGCTTGATTTAGAGTTCCATTCAAAAGGCAGAGTCGGCGCCAGTCGCAGCCTCCCGGTGTCTTTGGGCCATCTTCGGTTCTGGCCCGGTGGTGTAAATTGTCGCCCGAGAATGGGAGCTACGTGTGGAGCTAGGTACGTCCTAGCTGTCCACAAGTTGCACCAATGCGATTTCTTGTTGTGGGTGTCTTGGCGGTGTGTGTCGCGTAAATTGCCAAGTAATTCATAAATGTCAGCTACCCGGGCCATGGGGGGAGATTTATGAGTTTACTTGGCCAGCCTGGAGGTTGGAGAGGAAGGGCAACAATTAAAAGACTTTAACAAAGGTTATCTTGCGATTATCTCAGAGGAATCTCTTTCCTATAAGTCTCTAATTTAGTGGATTATTGGATAAGTTATAAACTTGCCCAATCTTGTTGATTTCCACGTTTCAGCTTTCGATCAAAATATTTGCATAAGCAGAAGCCTGAATTACGGTTTGGGCCAGAAACCTCAACGGCAGCTCAAAAAAGGTGAAACAAAAAATAAAAACCAAAAAAAATACACAAAAAACGGAAAGGTGAGCAGAACGTCATGTGTTGGCCAAGGAGCTCAGCTCCCTTCAGATACAGATACCAATACAAGCTACAGATACAGATACAAATACATTACTGAAGCCCAAGCAAGACGACGACGACAGCAGGCACGCGCCCCGGTCCCGATACCCAAGGGCTCAGGTACGAGACCATAAGACTCTGGCCAAAAGGGAAAAGGGCGCAAAAAGCAAAAAGCCAAGAGAGTTCAACACAAAAAAAAAAGGCTAAGATGCACAACTGCTGGGCATTCGCACACGGGTGAATAACCCGGGGAGACGATCCTCGTCCACCAAAGAATCTCGATCTAGCCGGCAAAGCTTACCACCACATAGCATATATTGTAGTTTATAATTTGTGGCAGGAAAAAGTCGAGAGATGGAAGATCTTATCGTATCTAATATCTGTGCCCGGTCCTCGATCAAATTACAGTTCCGGTCAAGATTGAGCATTTGGTTCCGCTTTTGTTTCGGGGATGATGTGGGCCCCGATCACCGATCACCGATCCCCGAGTTGGAGATCCAACCGTTAACCTTAAGTTAATGATTTGCCGGCAGCCTGCGCTTCAAGTGCAACATATGGCATGCTGCTGCCCCTCCACTCACTCTCTTTTTGCTGTGGCTTCAGCACAACTGACGCAGGATACGCAGGATTGCAGGAGTGCAGCGGCCTACCTAAGATCGAAGACCATAGTCCTTAGTTTTTGGTTTTTGGGTTTGAGTTTTGAGTTTTGGGCTCACTTCCTATCATCCTTTCTTCCTCTCTTATTGTATCCTGGGGAATATTTTTGTAAAAAGATCAATCAAAAATATTGAATCCCCCACCTTTCCAATCTTCAGCTTCCTCAGAAGAAATTCCTAATTCCACTTGACTTGGACTTGTTTTTTTCTGGTGTTTATGGCATGTAATCATAGAAATTGGAGGGAATGATATAGCAGGTGTTTGGTTTTTTGGGGGAAGAAGTTACAATTTTATTAAAATATTCTTTAAGATAGGAATATTAAATCATCATAATATGTACTCTTCTTAATATTTAGAAAATTAAAGTAACTTCTAATTTAGATAATTTTCCATACAATTTAAGACCGAATTCGAGCCCCCGTTACCAAAATCCATTGTATTTTCTTTGTTTAAGCCTGTAGGTTGTTTTTAGGACTACTGCTGCTGCTGGTCCTGTTGCCAAGCACCGGCACCTGCTCCTTGGGCGCAGGACGCGCTTCTTTTGACCGCAATCGTTGCCAGAGCCCTGGCCGAAAATGTAAGACAAGAAAAAAGCAAACACCGCTCTTACAAGCCAACAGAAGGCAGCCTGAAAATCGTGGCTCAGGAGGTCGCTTAACTGTTAAACTTGGCGCGCTTACAACGCAGGGGGACTTGTCCTGATAAATGGGGTTTCAAGGGCTGGGGGCAGCAACAGGGGCAGCAAGGATCCTGCAAAGCGTGTGCCAAAAACCACAATCAAAAAAAAAAAACCAATCCGAGCCAGCCTGCTGCAATCTGACAAGAGCCTGCTGCATTTAATAACTGTTTTCGTTTTTGCCGCTGCTCCTCACAATACCCTTTCAAAGGGTATTTAAGGTCTATTAAGTATCTTGCCGATTAAAGAGATTTAATCTCTCTTGGAGAATTTAGCCCGAAAGAATTTACCAATTTGACTTTATTTCATGTATAATATTTTGTATCCTTTATTAAAGTATTAACATCTTCGGTTTAATAAATCGATGACCAATTCATCTGCTGTTTGTGTGTAAAACTGCCCCCCGAGTGCTCACGATCTGGGGTTTAAAGCCCAGTTAAAACGGAGACCACTTGCGCTGCACGTGCCACTTTTTGCAGCTTGCCACATGATGCTCTCCACCGCAACCAGCAGCCGATCCACCTCACTCGCCTTATCGCAGACAACAACGCGTCTCAGACTTAATTAATTTTTATTTATGTTAACGAGCCCTTCGGCTTTTAGCCAAATCAGAGCATAGGTCCACGAACTGGTACTACTTTAGCTGATCGAAGGCCTGACGAAGCATTTGATTGCAGAGAGCAGCGTAGGGATTTATTTCCACCAACTGGAAAAATATAAAAAAAACTTTAAAGAAAACCCTATGGAAGGAGTACTTAGAAGATTTACCTGTTCTCTGGCAAATTTGCTGCCCAACTGAGCGGCTGCCTCGAAATCGGAGCGTGCAGCATCCAAGTTGTCCAGCTTGCGATATAGAATCCCGCGCTGGCAGTGGGCATGGCACTTGGTGCGAACCTCAAGCTCGTTGGCCAGGCTTAAGGCGCGGTTCAAGTCATCCATGGCCTCTATAAAAATATAAGATATTTTATTTATGCGTATAATATTGCATATTATTGTAACACATAGTTTTCTTTTAAAATAAGTTTATCCTGAAATGATACGAGTTATTTATGTACGTGGCGCCATCTGTTGTTGATGCTTTCTTAGCAAAGATTTAAACCTAAATACCTGTTCAAGCTGTAGGTGCTGGAGCCCTCAGCATCGAGATATTAAATTATACCTCTATCCCCTTCTTTGAGGAAAAAATGTAGTTACCTAATGTTCCAATCGAATAGACATAGAACCTCAAATAATATAAATATAATTATAAATATAACTTACCCTGATCCCTTTTTGCCAGGCGCAGAGTTTGGGCCCTATTGTTCAATACCGAGGCTCTTTCAGTAAGATTTAGGGCTTTTTGAAACAAATCAAGAGCTTCTGGTACATCACCTTTTTCGGATGAGCAAATAGCCCGGTGCTCAAGGTCCTTGGAAGCTTTGACTGCATCCGATTCAGGCTCTACACATCCATCCGTTAGATCTGATTCACTGGGCACGAAGCTGTTCGCCCCTGGAAAGCCGCCCAGCTCTAGGGGATTGAAAATGGACTCCAGCACCTGCTGATCATGTTTACTTAGCTTTAGATTCGTCTGCGGCATTATACGATGTGATCTGATGGCAGATTTAAGCAAACTAATCTAAGTAACCGAGTGGTCAAAATCAAAACAAGGGGCACCTAATGCAAATCAAGTCGACTAACCTGTTCATATTGCTAGTCGCGTGCTTTAGACTTTAGATAAGAATTTTATCATTAAATATGCAAGGGGGTATACTCGGTCTGAAGCAGTGTTGCTTGACAAGTTCACCCAAAGTGGCCAGAGACAGATATACACACCATTAGTAGGACCACTATAAAAACCGATTTAGGCAATAATAGGTTTAGGCCTAAAACCGATTTAGGCAATAGGTTTATATTTTATCGACCTGGAGGCTATATAAAAGGTAGTTTGACCCTACGCAAATTCATTTCTACTTGGACTTGGTTTACTTGGTCTACTTGGTTTTGAACGTCGAGATATTATTTTATTTTTATATCGTCCTTATTTTTTTCCCCAGTACCCCACATTTTAGTCGAAGAACATACCTGTAGGAGCTGTCATAGTAGATCATGGAGTGAAAATAATCCTATAGGTCCTCTCGGGATCTAGCGATGGAAAGTTATGAAACAAATCCAAATTTTATACTTACTTTATTCTAAAAATGTAAAATAAAAGACTAGCTCATGTGTATATAAAAAAACGTTTTGTTTTTATTTTTCATATTTTTTTGTTTGCTGTTTTCTTTATGTATACGTAAATACCAAGGACAATATCATTTGTTTTTCACTTTTTGTTTTTTGCAATATAATTAATAATTAATAAATCAGCGCTTTTTGTGTTCATTACCATTTCAATTTATATATCATTATCATTGCTATGCTAATGCGTTAGATTTCTTGTTTTTTAATTCCGATAAATACAATTATTTTTAATGGTTTAATAAATTTTTGGTTTTTTGCTTTAAATGTTTAACTTTATGTTTGTTCTTTTATAATTTTTCTTTACAATATACACAACTGAAAAGCCTTTTACTCGAATGGTTTATATATTTAAATATTATGCACTAGTTTAGCTCGATCTTTTGCGTTAATGCCTGGTGTTATCTTTCCTAATTCTCACTTTGAATTTGAAGGGGTAGGGGATCAGTAATGGAAATTAATAATATGAGGTCTGGTCTTTGGGGAATTTCGTCTCGCAAGCAAAGCAAATTGGCCCTAAAAAGCGATTGAACCCAAAGCTAGAATAAAGAACTTGTATACTATATATAAATATATGTTCTTTGGGGTATATGAGGACATTCCTATGTTTCTTCAGTGGTGCTTCGTGGTTGTGTTCTAGTTGTCTTTCCTTCTTGATTTCTTGATATATGTATGTATGATAAAAAATATAAAAGTGAGCATTGAATGTTTTCCTTTTCTATATAATATGTATATATAGGTATATATATATATATATTTTACAAGTTCGTGTCAAGTGTTAAATCTTTCTATAGCAGATATATAACCTTTCTTGTTATGTACTAGGTGGCACAGTTTGTTTTTGTTTTTGTAGTTGGTTGCTTTTGTGGTCTGGTCTGAATGCGTAAAATATACTTGATATATATCAGTTGGGGGTTTTCGAAAGATTAACTCAAAAGCGAGACCTAGAAATTAGTATAGTTCTTGTCTATCCGGTAATATACACAATCATATATTTTTATATGTGATATATTGAAATATCTACAAGTTGGATTATCTCTGGTTAAAAGTCTAACTCGATCTTAATCATACAACAAGTTTGCTTCTGCCGAGGCTTAGCTATCATTATGAACTATGTCTAGGTTTATTCTATTGCTATTTACGATACGATATTTACGTGGTATATGGGCTTTGAGTTTTTCTGAGTGGTATGGTACATAATCAGATCTATATGATATTTATAAGCTTTAATTTTCATTGCGTTTGATGCGGTTTTTTCTTGTATTTTGTTTTCTTTTTTTTGGTTGAATGAATTTAAATGCCGTTTACCCTTTTATTAGCATAACATATAGATAGCCTTGTTCTTTCTGGTATTCATTAGATATATATAGTTCTATACATTTTCTTTCACATTTATGGTTTAACTCGTTAGTGTAGGTGTGTGTGTGGGGTTATTGAAGTGGAAATTGAAGTTGTTTCCTTGATTTTGCTTAAAATTGCTTTTCATTGTCGTTTACAATTTAGATATAGTTTAGTATACGATCTATGTATATGCGGTATTTGTTTACGTTTTATTTTGTATATTATATTAAATAGATATTCGTCTCGTAGATATCAAAGTTTTTGAGTTTTAAGCATTCTCATCAAAATCTATAGCAATATACAAAGGCGTAAGTGCGTTTACGTGGCGATCCTTTCCAGGTAGCCCCTTTTCACGCATAAACATTGCAAAATGATTTTTATTTTCATAATTTTGAAAAATTTAACTTGAGTTTAATTTTCTTAGAGTTTTTGTTTTTTTTTTTTTTTTGGTAAATTCACTAACAATAAGTAACAGCATAAGCTTTTTGCTTGATTTTGGTTTACAATTTCCATTTTTAGCTAAAAAATGTACATAACTGATATTCAGTAAAGCGTTTAATTACATAATAGTCAACAAAAGTACAAGTGAAATATCTCATATAACGATTCAATTTCAATATCAATTTTACATTTTTTGTATTAATTTTGTTTAATTACTTTTCACAGAGACATATATGTACGTAAAAGGAGTTATTAAGAGAGATAGGGAGAGATCTAAGCAGAGAATTATCCTTGTAGTTAAGAAAACAAGCCCGGCATGGGGTTCGAAGTTCGAACCTCGAACCCGATATGCCCCTATAGATATCATTAGACACAAAGTTAACTTCTTGTGGACTTATGGTGAACAGATTGCTCATATGACATGCAAAAATTTCATTTTATTCCAAACACTATCACACACAACAAACGAAATCAACAAATTCGCCGAACGATTGATTAAACATTGACCGATTGAGTGAAAGAGATATATAGTAGTGATAGAGAGAGATAGATCGAGAGACTTGGAAAGAGAGCGAAAAATATGTTGGATTTTTGGTTTTTTTGTTTTTGATCTATAAAAAGGATTTTCTTTTTTACACAATACATATGAAGAGTTGCACTTGCAGTTGTTCTTGTTTGTCGTGCTCTTGTAAAAGTTTTAACTTTTTGTTTTTTAATATTTAATATTTGCTCGTGATCGCGCCCTGTCGGCCTGGCTCTTCCTGCTTCAACATCGTTTAACTTTTTACTTAATGCCAATCAACCTCAAATTTTAAGCGTTCCATTTTTCTGGATTTTCTCTACAGCGTTTAATGTTAGTTTTCTTGCATTTTACAATGGTAGAGTTAGCATAGATGCTTCCTTTCCTTTAGCAGATTCATAATTCGTTTACCGTTTTTGTTTTTTTTTGGTTTTCGGGATAATATTGTAGTGGAATATTTGGCTGGGGATTTAGGCTTTAATTTTTTTTCAGAGGATTTCGTTGGTGTTGGTTTTGCTCTTAAAAACATTTAACAAACATTCAAAAATTGTGCAGCGTGCAGTTTAAGTTGTACTAATAACAAGGACATGCCCAGAGTGTTGCCAGATTGATCAAGAATATTTGATACTGAATTTTAAAAAAACATGTTTTTTAAAAGTTGAATATTTTCTGAATTTAAGCTTTCAATTTTGATTAATCTCACAACACTCTAAGAATTTAATTTAATATTTTGGCTAGAATTTTGAATTAATGCGCTTTTCGGGCTAGATATTTTTTTCGAGTGACTGCTGATGTGAGTGTGTGTGTGTGTGGGTGGGTGTGGGTGTGTGTATCTATGTGGGCGTAGCTACTGCATTTATTTATAATTTTTACATGGCTTGTGATTTAATTTTACGATTATTTTTTAATTTTTACAAATTATCATTTGCTTAGGTGGGCTTCATATTTGTTTGTTGTTGACTTCATTCATCAATTTATCAATTAGCTGCTGTAAATACAATCAATTTGGCAATGCGCATGTGTGTGTGTGTGTGAGTATGCCGTGCGTATGTGTTAGTGCATGTGTTTGTTAGTGTTAGTGTGTTTTTTTGTATCTAACAAAAGCAACAATTCATTTGCTAATTCACTGATTATTTTGCATTGTACAGTGTCTGTGCCTGTTTTTTATTTAAGATTTTTTTTTTGTGTTTTTAACTTTTCTTAAATTTTTTTTCTCTGCATCATCTCCATCTTGCTTACTGTATATAGGGGACTTTTAGATATTTTACTTGATAATTTTTTAAACATTTTTAAGCTCTTGTTTTTCTTAATGTATGCCTTATTCGGTTGTTGTTGCATTCTTCTCATGGGGATTTCGTGGGTTTATCATCATCAAATATAACATTGCTCTTACAGTAATCTCGTGAAACTAAACACTTTGTCTCGCCATTATTTTAAACAAGTAATGACTAACCGGCTAAACTACATTGTTCGATTTGTAATCAATAGTATAATCATAATCATACAATAATATTTTATAGAGTTTTACACAGATTTACACATTTCGACTAGCTTGTGGTTCGTGGTTCGATAGAGGATAAAGGATCTTAGGACTCCTAAGGTCTGATTAGGTCTTGGCTTTGGTTTTTGTTTCTAGTTAAGGACTTGAGTAGTTTTTGGTTTCTGGTTTGGTTCTAAGTACGTGTTGCCAAGCGGGGAGAGATGCTCTTTCTTCTAGTTAGTTTCTTCTGGTTGGCAGTGTTTTAATTTTGCTTTTGATATTTCTGGAAAACCTAACAAATAATACAAAAAAATCCGGGAAAAGTTGTCTTAACATTAGACATTGTTTGAGTTTCTTTTTTTTTTTTGAGCATCTCGTTAAGTTTTTTTTGTTTTTTTTTTTTTAAAAACAACACATTTCTACGGGATCTAGTTAAGCTGGGGTGGCTCTTTGAAAATACACTTATAACTTTATTTTTTTTTTTGTTTCAAAACAAAACCTTACTAATTGTCTGTCAAGGGCGTTTTTCTGTTTAGTGTGAAAATAGGCGTGCATGTAGGAAAGGTTTTTAATTTTTTTGTCGTAGGCTTCCATTTTGTTTTATTTGATTTGATTTTTATATATTTTTTTCCTGATTCTTTTTTTTTTGTTGTGGAAAAGTTAGCACAATTAAACTGTTTACTGATTGAATTGCTGTTGCAGTTTGAAAGAAATTTTCCCAAATATTGCGGCTCCAATAGTTAAAATTTGGTTTTTAGTTTACTGGTAAACGGAATTATTATGAGATTTGTAGCTGCTGCTGCTGTAGCGTTGGTGTTGCTGCTGCTGTGATGCCGATGAATGATGATGGTGGTGGTGATCGTGTTGGTGTCCGTGTTGGTGTCCTTGGTGGTGTCCTTGGTGGTGATCGTGGTGATGGTGTTCGTGTCCGTGTCCTTGGTGTTCCCGTTCGCGCTGTTCACGTTGCTCTCGCAAATGTTGCTGCCTATCGCGATGATATTCACGTTGTTCGCGTTGTTCACGTTGATCGCGTTGTTCGCGTTGTTCACGTTGTTCACGTTGTTCGCGTTGTTCACGCTGCTCACGTTGTTGTTGCAAGAGCTGCTGGCGGGTTGGTGTTTGTTGTTGCTGTTGCTCCCTCGTTGGCGTGGCATGCTGCTGCTCCCTTGTGGGAGTTGCCTCACGAGATGCTTTCGTTGGTGTATTAGTGTTTAGTGTTTGTTGTTTATTTGCAACCGATGTTGCTGTTGTTGGTGGTTCTTGTGTATTAGTAGTGGTGTTGTTAGTGTTGTTGTTTGTGGGTGTGTTTGGATGATACTGTTGTTGTGGTTGGTGGTGTTGCTGATGATGCGAATGATGGTTGCTGAGCGCGGCACTGCTGCCATAATGGCTGTTGATGTTGTTATGCAGCTCATGGGGCAGTGGCGGTGGATTCTTGGCTTTTGTTAGCGGTATTGGTGTTGGCATTGGTTTTGGCGTCTCCGTTAAATCGATGCCCCATTCGTAAAGGAACTCGAGTTTTTGTCGTTCCAATGGGTCACTGGCCGGCAGGGCAAGCAAATGTTAGGCTTCTAAAAATATCAAAGCTGTTGGCTTCGGTTCCAAATTTGATTTTTTTGCTTCGACAACTAAGAATGTTATTTCAGCCTTTTCACGATTAGCAAAGCATTCAGCTATCAGTCGAGCAACCTCCTAAGAAAAAGACAGTATTTTATGGATTCTGCCATAAAAGGCCCTTAAAAGTAGGCAATACTTATTTTCAAATCATACCTGATGATGTAGGCCTTCCACTTTGGTTCCATCCACCTCCAGTATCAGTTGTCCGACTTCTAAGCCGCCCGCTTCAAATGCTGCACCATTTTCCTATTTAAAAATTACACCAAAATTTTAAATAAATTTAAAAAATGTAAGCTTTTAGTAGCAAACTTACATGGATATTGATTATCCTAGGGAGCGGGTGTTTTGTGTTAGCACCACCTTCGATAGCAATACCTAAAATTGGTTTGGTTTTCTTAACTGTAATGTGTAAGTTGCCTCTATGATCAGGTACGACGTTTGGATTGTGTTCATGTGTTTGTTCAGTCGTTGAACCACCATTCTGCTCCGCTGACAGACGCTGCATGGACTGGAAATAGAAAGTTTGTAGTTATTAGTCTAAGAACTAGTATATTTCAAGGCATATAATAGCTCCATGGGAAATCATCTTTATCTGTCAATCGAAACCAAGTCAAGAACTACTGTTTCAACTCTAAGATTAGCTTACAGTTCAAAGTCAAATTGTGTTTCGGTTTGATCAAAGCTGATAAAATAGATTTTGTGATTTGGTAAAGGCAAGCAATTTAACGTTTTGTTGAATCTGAGGATTTGGTTAAATATTTTCTGGTATTAAAGTACGTGTGGGGCAAACAATACGAAAAGGTTCAAGCTATGAAAAGGTAGACCAATTTTAATTTACAAATATTGTAGTATATTGTTGGTTTGCTAGTTTCAAATATTTGTCATAATTGTTGTTTATTTTTGAATTGAGGTTAAAAATAGATAGAGAAAAGGAAGAAGTTTTTGTGTGATTTGTTGGGAATGAATCATGAAATGTTCTTGGAGTGACCAATAGTTGTAATAATTTCAAATAGAAACCGATGGGTATTGTATTTTTTTTTATATATAATTAATTAAATCTCATAGATATATTTCTTAGGTTTAGTTAAAGTTGTTGTCGGCATTCAAGTGCTGTATTCTGCTATTAGTTGTAGATATCGAATATTGTTGTGTGCTTGCACTGGATTTCGAGTAGCACTCACCTGATGCCTTCGTACACCTTTATCGCCCAGCAATGTGCCGCCTTCTTCCTTCATATCGAAACTTCGTGAGAGTTTTGTGGCCAACTCCTATTATATTTATTTATTTTTTTCAGGTTTGGCCACATTTGATTTTGGCAATGTATTGGTTTTTTTTTATATTTTTTTGTATTTTGCATAGTGAGCAACATTTGATTGATTTTTGAATGTAAAATGAAAATAGTAGAAATATTTGCATAAGAATTCGTTGTAGTTGCTTGTAGTAGAGATAAAAACGTTACAGGTTTCTTTTGTAGTTGGTAGTATTAAGTAGTTCAGTGAATTATGATAATAAGAGTTATTTGATTTTTTGAACGTGTTTGCTGTTGGTTTGAGTTTCGCTTTCACTTGCAAACATACAGATAGAAATTGAATTGAATAAAGTATGACAAGTAGTCTATACGGTAGTAGGGTAGTGGGTGGTTGGTAAGTCAGTGGGTTTTTGGATGGATTCTTGTGGGGACAGCCAAGTGCCAAAGCGTGCTTCAGAAAGAGAATTTAAGATGGAGATATTGCTTTTGGAAAATAGAGCTTGGACTTTAATCAGATTTAGAGTTTAGAGACTTTGACTTCAATCGTCAAAGAACTCAAGCACTTTGTTTAAATAATTTCTCGTCACATTTTCTAATTATAGAGTCTTAAATATTTATGATTTAATTCTGGAGCTAAGCTGAATGTCAGAAGTGCAAGGATATGAATATGCGAGTGCTTGTGTATCTGTTAGATACTTATGGTCAGTATCCGTGTATCTGTCGGTGTATCTGGTTGTGTGTTTGTGCATTTTAAGGCTTTGCAACTATACAATATTTATACGATCTATTTATAAAAGCTAATTGCAAGAGTTTGGCAGCTAAGACACTCAGATTTGATTCGCTAGACTAATTCGGACTAAGTAGGTTTTGAAATGTAGCGCTAACTAAAACTTCAGTAACTCCAACTTATTTTACAGGGCTAAGAGCTGCTAACTACGACTAACAAAGGATAGGTGGAGTGCGTGTGTGAATGTATTCATTTTTTAATTAATATTTCAAAGTTGTGTGGAGGGCAGCAGCAGCTAAAATGCCAAAACAAAAAACCGGGAGTTTACACTAATTACAGGGCAAAGTAAAAATTAAATGGAAAAATACTACAAATCGATATGAATGGAGGTGATTGGGTGACTTATGACTGGCTGGCGGTGAACCGAGACCAATTCATTTGAATATTGATACAGATATATTGATATTTGGCGTGTGTTTTTGAGAAATCGGGGTGACTCATGCGTAAATGTGCAAATGTATTTTTCAAGCTTTTCTTTGTTGGCTTTTAGTTGGTTGGCTCGTCTTTTTGACCTTTCGCTTTTAAATGCATTGCTGACTTTTAGTCTTGTGTCTTGTTTAACTTTTAGTTTAAATACTTACATTGACAATTACTTTACAAAGATACTAAAGAAATCTATATGAAAAGTTTCAAGTGCGCCACATAAAATCATAAAAAAACAAAACTAAATTTTTTGAAAACACAAAACAATCATTTTGTTTATGTTGGTGGGGCAAGCAGAATTTTATTCGTAATGAGAGCACAAAAAAACTAAAACACAAATCCTACAAATACAACACAAAATGCTGGAAATGCAATTGATATTTTTTTTGGAAATTTATTTTCGAGTTTAGTTTTTAGTTATTTATTTAAAAAATATTTAAATTATTGCACTTGCAGTGGCTGCGTGGCAATGCACATTCAAAACAATCAAGTTTTTAAGTTATTTGAGTTAATAGAAAGAGACAGAGTTACAGAGAGATAGAGATAGAGAGAGAGCGAGTGAGAGAGTGATAGCAATAACACTAAGTAGTTCAGGCTAAATTGAATGCAACGAGATGCAAATTGAAAGGTCTTTTCCAAAAGAAAAACAAAATGCAGACTGTGAAAACACACTTCGCAGACAAAAATTTATTCCACTCAAGTTGCGAACACAATTTCTAGATTTTTTTTGTGGTTGCTGGTGTCATTATTGGCTTTATTATTAGGTATTTTGTTTGTTTTCGTTTAACGATTAACGAAAAATACATTGGCACTTACTAGAGGTCGTCCCCAATACCATGATTTGACACGTTGTGTTAAACCACCCAAATGTGAACGCAGTCCATCTAAGTAGCCGCCCTGAAATGCACACAAATGAACAAACAAGAACAATTTTGGGGGGAGTACGGGATCACAAAGTCACGGGATCCGAGGAGTCCGTGGATCGCATGGATCAACAACAAAAGTGGTTGAAAAGTGAAAGTGCCAAAAGTGAAATGAGAGAATCGATTCGAACTAAATGAGAAAGATCTGGTGTTCTAGGGATAACTGAAAAATATTTAAAAAAAAAATTAGGAATTTGTGGGGAATATTTGTTGTTGGGTTCCTAAGATGTTTTGTTAAAACTATTCAATCTACAATTTAGTTAATTACTGGTTGTATATGGTTGAAGATTAAATCTACAGGTTTTTACTTTTCAATATGAGCTATTAATATTTTTAATACATTTTTCTTTAAGATTTTTACCTAAAACTAAGCTGATCACTTTGGAGATGGGTTTTTACCTTTACTAAGGCTACAGAACTAAAAACTTAAATAAATGAATTTCTATTTTTATAAATTTAAAATCTTGTACTTATTATATACTATATTTTGAGGGAATTATTATTATTTTATGAAAAAATTTGTGTTGTTGACCATATTTGTTGCTAAATAATGTTGCTCGACTTGGCCGCAATGTTGCTGGCTTTTTTGTAGCCTACTTTCAGGCTTCACCTCTAATTAAACCGAATATCTGACTAATCTTCAATTTCTAAGCCTCTTCTACCGCGAAACCAAACGCGTTCATTGGCTAATTAGCTCTGGTTATGTCAAAACTTTTGTGTTTGGTAATCTTCCCCCAAAAGCTTTGTTGCATGAACGTATAATCCGCATCGGCCTGCGCCTCCATCTACTCCGCCCCCGCCATGTTGCATTCGAAAATTATGCACACGAATCCCCACCAGAGGGAAAATGAGTTTTGGAGAAAAAACACAACACTAGTAGCTCTAGCTAAATATTTACAACAACGAGGCGTAAGAGATTTATTTTCGTTTTTTTTCGGTTTTGGGGTGTTTTCTTTTGTTACGATTACGATTGCTTCCTTATTGGACTTTTCTTTCATTTTATTTTCTCGTTATGTATGCACGTATGTGTTTTTGTATTTAAATAAGTGTGTGTGTGTAGTGTTGTTGTGTGTTGGTATGTTTTGAAAATATATAGTTTCGAAAACGGTGCTTAAAGTGTATCAAACGGCAAATGCAGCAACTTAAACCTTACCTGTTCCTGTTTCCAATTAATGCGATTCCATCAGATTGCGTATACGCAGCGTGAAACGAAAGGGTAGAGAGACAAAGAAAGAGAGATGGAGATCCAAAAATCATATATTAATTATCACGGCGCAACTGCTAATGAGATATCATCTAAGTTCAATGCCAAATGCCAAACGCCTTCTGGCCAGGCCATCAAATCACATCCCGCCTCCCAAAATCAGTCAGTAGTCGCTAAAGGTTTCTGTTTACGTCATTCCCAAGAAAAACAAACTACATTCAATGGCTACCACAGCCACATACAAAAAAAAAGAAAAGAAATATGTAGAGCCAGAAGGAAACAAAAACCCGGCACAGCTGCAGAAACTGTCAGCTGCATTTCCCCCACCGCAGTCCCACGAATAAATTTTATTTATTTGTCACTCCAGTTCGAGCATTGCGTAAATCGGACACTTACTACTATACGGCTGCCATGGGCCATAGACTCACAGCAGTGGCCAGTAAATCTTGCCGATATAATTGCAGTATAATTTTTAGTCATAAATATTGACAATCTTTGTTTATCAAATTGTTTTGCGTTGCCATTGTCGTCGCTCTGGGTAATTTTTTACATTACTAGGCCATAAAAAGTAGCTTGGAAAAACGTTCGGTGGCAAAACGTCAAAGAAAGCAAAACTCAACGCCATAACAAGAGTCCCATGATGTATTTAGTTTATAGTTTATAAGTAAGCCATAAAATGCTCTAACTTTTGGGGATAATTTTTTAACAAAATATGATTTTTGCAGAGGATTTGGATAAGTATTTTAATGTTTTTTGGGGACCTCTGTTTGGCGTAACTCCACTTTTATGCTTTGTTTCTTTTTATATATGTGGTAGTTTTAATTTATAATAATCTATAAAGTAGTAATTTATGTACTTAACAGCTAACTATTTTTAAAATATGGTAAATATATTTCTTACTTAATTTCTTTTGTGTTTATTTATTATAAATTGCCTTATCCAAAATATCTATTTTAAACCTCAATGAGTCTATTATGTTTTAAAATTTAAATATTAAATAAATACCCCACTTATTTCTAGAATCTTCTTAAAGCTATTATTAGAGTTAAAAATAAATTTAAATTCAAGCATTCTCCATACAAATTTTTTGGCCAAGGTCTCCGGCTTTTGATCAAATCCAATACCATCTGCCCACGACCCGGCGGAACAAAGAGTACTCTCCATGGCAGTCTGCTGCGGCTGGCTGGGCATCGTCAACTTGGTCGGTGGCTTTTGGCAGCAGCCCCACATACAACAACAACAATACGAACAAGCTGAAAAACAAGCTACAACAACCAGAGGCAAGAGCCAAGAGCCAGCAACATGAGCAGCTCCGGCTTTGGGTCTACAGTAATACCTTCAGCAAAGTCTGCAGTTTCAGTCGCGCGTCGTCGCTTCGAGCGTGAGGTTGTAAGCCAGATTTGAAAGACGGAATAACAGAGCTTTGTGCCGCCAAAAGCATCAGCTAAAAGTGCGTATACAAGGCTTAAATTGAACGAAAACAAGTTGCCTGTGGAGTTGACAAGTCTCGCGTTTCGTTACATTTCGCGCTCTGTTTGCCAGCAAATTGTTGCATCAAAAAAAAAAAAAACAACCATAATAATATAATCATGGGAGCAGAAGTTTTGTCTGATTCAGAGGTTTTGCTTTTCTGCACTTGATGGTTATATCATCGAAGTCGTTGCCACAGATTTGTCGGACATGTGTTGGCAACTTTATTGCTTTGCATTTTGCATTCAATTAACTTCTATTTCTCGACTTTTTCGGAGTTAGCTTCCATTGTTTTGATTTTTTAATTGCTTAGGAGAAGTTAAAACCCCCAGCCCGGGAAGAGTTTCTTTTCTGCAATTAACTTGCTGACGGAAACCGGAGATTCTAAGTGTTGGAACTGCGAAATAGTTGCTAAACATTTCGACCCATAAAAAAGCCATTGGGAAAAAGACAAGAAAACTATAAGAGAAAAGAAATGCGCAGAAAACCAATGAAAGAACAAAGTATTTTTAATGGATTTCGGACAGACTTTCAGCCTTTCAGTCACTCAGCCTTTCAAAAGGGCCTGGGGGGGCCGGCCTGACAGCCAGAGCCAGAAAAGTCACGGCAATTGGAGGAGAAACTTAATAAAGTTTTTCCGCTGACTGATTTCATTGTCTCCCAAATTGAGACTCTCAATCATCCAATCCAGGCCTTACGTTGACCCACTTCTTGTCACTTCTGATCGAGAAAACCATAGTCCAAAATATGATAAATGATTTTAAAAACGTAGAATGAGTTTATAGGTCAATGAGCTGGCCATAGGCAGTGTCACAATAGAACACAAAGCCCAGCTACGATCGCAGGCGACTGACTTCTTAACAATAGTGTGAATTAGAGAACAAATTAAATGCTCACCTTTTGTTTAACTTTAGAATAATTATAAAAAAAAGACGCTGACTGGCAGAACCAGAAAAAAATTTCACCACAACGAAAGGAACAGCAACCAGAAAAAAAAACTTGGAAAACAAAAAAGTCACAACTTAGAAAACCGGGAAGCGCAACTTTCACAAAAAAAGTGACAGAGTGTGGCTAAGGGGAGGAAGAATTTTCCAAACAATAATGCATTTTTCCAGTCAATTGTCTGCTGACAGCCCATTTAACTGTATTTTCCCTACGCACATCATTTTCCAACAATTTTTCTCACAAATTGTTCAATAATTTGGGTTTTTTTTTCTTTGCCTTTTTTTTTGAGTTAAGCCGCTCAGGGCAACCATTTCAAAATCAATCAAATTTATGACTTTGCAAACTTTTTCAGTCAACTCTTGATGATTTTTTGCTTTTAGCCAAAGCTCTAGTCGTAGCTGAAAATTTGTAACTCGAATCGAAAAGCTGGCAATCATCATTCAAAGCACATGCCATTGACCTCGTTGCGTATGCGGAGGCTGGGGGGCAGCTCTTTGTCACTTAATATGAAGGGACGGGGAGAGGGGTGACTCGATTGCCCCACCAATTCGATATTCGAGTTGACAAATGGCTGTAAGTCCCAAAAGTGGTATTTCATTAATCGCCTTTCAAGGCCAAGCTGGATTATGGATAGATAGTTGTGCATAACCTTTTAATTGAATAATTTTAATAACTACACTTTTATAATAATAGGTAGTCTTTGAAAATCTTCTCCCCTTTGGTATCAAGTCGAGTATAATTAATGATGTCAAAAGATGACAAGCTGTCCAAATTGCTAACACAGCCTCGTGATAGACGAGAAAGAGTTTGGTATAACGGTTAATCAACTGCCAAGAATTCACACCTCTTGGCCCTCTCGGCCCTCTGGCCCCCTTGCCTCAATTAAGGTTCTCATTATGAGCCTTTTCTTCACACACAGAAAAAAAAACAGAATTAGTTAACGAGACAAGCAAATCATAAATATGATGAAGTATTTCTTAAAGAATATATATTTCTTTCTTTTCCATAATTTCATTTCACACTCATTGACTTTTTAGACCGGATTTGGAGTCCAAGTTTTTTTGCTACGCATCCAAATGGTTTATTTACATTATAAACAACTTTTCTCCATCTCTGTTGCTCCGAAGTTTAGCTCAGAGCTTGTCCAGAGCTACAACAATTTACTTTCCATTTATGTTTGCTCTTGACAAAGTTTTGTACCTTATTTAGTACATTTCTCTAATGACCCACTTTGAGTTTTTGGTCTTGGCTGGCTCTCTGTCTGCCTCTCGCTCTGTTGAAGCCACAATCTCTGGTCCGTCGGTATCTGCATCTCTGTCTGCGTAATTTCAGAAAAGTGAGTGTCCCATAAGCCAGACAAGCGACATCCCCATCCCCATCCCATCGAAGTAACAGCAACAGCAACGGCAACAGCGACAGCCACAAAAAGTTGTTTGTCAGTTTTAGTTGAAATCAAACTGGTTACTCAGGCTGGGCCGGCCGTCGTCTGGCTCCGTTCATCGACCATCCGGCCGTCGGACCATCGAGTGCATCTGTACATCGGTCAAGTCGGCCCAAATGGTGTCAGCTGTGTAAACAGGGCTAAGCAAGCGGATCGGGCTAAGCAAGCCGTTTAGCTCCTCATTTACCCTAGCCCCTACACTGCCATTATGCACCGCTCCCATGTCCAAATCAATTTCGTGCGAGCCGAATGAAAATCCTGCCCTGAACTTGACTGAATGCATGTGATATGGTTGGACGCCTTTTGCGGAAATTATTGCAATTTTCTTGTCTTCTAGCCAAGCACTCACTTACACACACGCCTGTGGCCTGGAGTGGTGCGGCGGTGGTGCACGGGGACCAAAGTTTTGTCGGTGAATTTACTTTCACTTTTTGCGGCACCCACTCTGGCTCAACAAGTAGCGGGGGAGTGACTCCTCCAGGAAGTTTTGGATCAGAAAGGAAACATTCATCAACGAATGAAGTGCACGAGTTCGAGTGGAGTTTTCCCTCCAAATCCAACAAAGACTCAAGTGAATAAAGAAAGTTGAAAGCATATTGAGTTTCGAGTTTGAAGAACCGTTCTAAGCCAATAAAAATTAGTGTTTAAAGTTTAAGCCATTTAATATTCTTTAGACTCATTAGCCATTCCTTTTCCAATTGATTGCACCGGCAAACTCTGACACTGATTGCAACTTGGCCAAAGAAAAACAAATCAAATCATTTAAACAAATCAAACATCCAACAGGCACCCCACCCCCAGACCTAGCGACAACATGGAAACCTATCTGACGGAGATCAAACAATTGCGCATACCACGCCCGAAATTCGAGCCCAACAGTTGCCATCAGCAGCACCAACATGCGGTGGTTAGCTCGTCCTCATCCTCGACCACGCCCACCCAGCCACCACCGCCCCTGCACCACCGGCAGTGGCGGCACTTTGTGCGACCCTTTACGCCGCCCCGCGATTACCATTTGCCGATGGTGGCCGAGGGTTCCATTCACGACAAGATGTGAGGAGGGCCGGATGAATATATACCATAACCCTATATACGATACTTACATAAGATAGTGCTTAAGCTTATAGTTTAAGATTAACTCTAGATACAGATACAGTTTACAGATGCAAAGAATAAAGAGTTGATTAGAGTTTGTTGTGAGAGTTATCAAGTATTTAAGATGTGCTGATCATGAAATGGTTTTTGAAATGTCAAGGTAAGGCATATATGACCTATTATAGAAGCACCCCCCACGGATAATCCTACTCACCGTATCTTGTTCGTATTCCGGTAAAAGGGTTTCGCTGCCCCGGCGAGTTCTGTGCTCATCACAGCCGTATTCCTACGATTTTTAGCGAATAAACAAAAGCATATAGATGGTTTTCAGTTTCTTGAAGGCAGTTTAGCTTGGCTCGTGACTTAATTCGACTTAAATGTATTACAACACCCAATAGCCAATTGGACAACATTTATAAAAGGAAGTAACAACATAACGGGAAACGGAGATGGAGACGGAGACTTAGACGACAACTCAAACAAAAACCACATGGAGCAGTTGGACAAACATGGGAATAAAAACGCAAACATATCAACACGACACAACATACGACACTTACGGAAAACCAAACAAACTTAAAACGAAAGACAAAGATACAAAAGGAGTAATAGATAAAGATAAAGATAGATAGTTACTGACACCAAAGACAATTAAAAAATATTCAAGTTTAAGTTCGAAATGACAGACAGGAATGTTGAATTTTTTGAGCCGAATGTCAATTTTTCGTTTTCCAAGACAAATAGAGAAAGGTCTGAGAAATCAAAATCTTAAAGCTTTATGTACATAGAGAAGATATAGAAGATCCTAACTGATAGTTTGGAGAAACCTCCAAGATAGTGAGGAATAAAGTCAGAAAGATTTTGGGCTTGCTAGTACACTTTTTTGGGAACTTTTGCTTTTGATTTTCTGTTCATTTTTTGTTTGTTTTGGGAGTCGCGACAATCCTGACCTGTTGCTGATTGTCTTTGGCCTGCTTGAATTTCAGATGATGATGACGACCAGGTCCCACGGTGCCGCCTCCACCGCCCAGATGACGCAATGAGGCATGATGGGGTGGATAATGTTGCTGCTGTTGGTGTGGCTTCTGTTGCTGTTGTTGCTGTTGTGGTGGCGATAATGGTGATGAGGACTGGTTGCTGGCTGTCTGATAATGGGATGCTGGCTGTGAGCGATGCAGTATGGGTCCCGCCGACATGGGCCTATGGGGCAATTGTAGAGCGGGTCTGCGATGCCGCCCACACATAATCAGAGATTTAAGTAAACATGATTTCACAGGAAGGATATGCAAATGGATGGGGAGAGTGAAGGGATATCAGGATGGGCTTTAAGGTTTTCTAGGCTTTAAGGAAACAAAACTCTCTCAGTACCGTTTATGAATATCCGTCACGGTCATGCCCAGGCCCGAGTCCGATGAAGGACTCCGTCCGGTGGCGGCTATAATCTCCAAATCGTCGGCGGTTACCTGTTGAACGGAACGGAATGGATCGAAGTGGTACGATACGAATCGAACGATTTGGTTTTTGCTTGAGACAGTGAGTCGGTGGAGCAGTGAGTGAGCAGGTGAATAGGATTCTAAGGATCTAGGCTTTCGCAGACAGAGACAGATAGAGCGAGAGCGAAAAAGAGGTGGTGACTAATAGACAGAGTCAGATATATAAAGAGAGAGAGCGACAGAGTGAAGTGCAATCCTACTAGTTCGATATGATATATTATGTTATATAGTGCTGATTCTGGGTGACTGTTTTTGGTTTCTTTGAGTATCCTTTTTGGTGCATTATCGGTGTTTAGTTACAAAAATACTCTTTTGATACTTAAAACTAAGTCTAAACTAAATATTTTACAAGAACAGTTCAGTCTCTTCTTGAGGCAACTGTTTGTATGTTTCTTAGAACGACTGTATGCCCCATTGGCTTATAATTATAGATCAAAACCCCCCTTTTCCCTAGAAAAATATACATGTTTTTATATACAAAGGTATTGGCACTACAATTAAACAAAAACTGTTATTGTTTTGTGTAATTTTTGTTTTGGAAAAATTGACATTCGATCGGATTGTTTTCTGTTTTTGGAAAACAATTGTCTGTAATTTGCAAAAAGGGCCGAATCGGAGGAAAGAAATTATCGGAAAGCATTTTATGAAAATATAAACAAAACTGACATGCAACTGTTTAGAAAGAAAAAGCATTAACTTTGTTTATACTTGGGTGGCTAAAAGAAAGTATCAAGTGTGTTTCTCGTTCAACAATTAAACTACAAGTTTTGGTTTTGATTTTCTTTCGTGTGTTATTTGTATTTTTGTTTACTACAAGTACAAAAACAGATAATTTTAAAGTAAAAGTTACAAACACATATAGTGTGACAACAATCACCAACGACAACAACAGCAAGAATAGGAAATAAACACTTTATAGGATAGATAAATAAAAGTATAAGTAGTATAGTAGAGTATTTTAGACGAATAGTAGACAGTAGACAGTAGACTGTATTAGGTTGAACAGTATTCATGGTTTAGTTAGAGTTTACTTGGCTTAACATGCTCAGTTAGAAGTCAGAGAAGTATCTCTCCGTACTAAGTATATATTGTGTCTGTGTCGTAGAATAAATCTTCTAAAAAGCTTACCGGCAAATCACGAGTGGGGTCTCCCTTACGCTGTAAGGAAATCAATTTGAAGATTGTAGAACAGGTTTGGGGAATGAATTATATCCTCAAACTTACCCTATGCCTATCCACGCTGTAGGGATCGCGTTCCCGCCGATACACCAACTCGTCGTATCGCGTGCGATCCTCGGGGAAGACAAGTTCCCGGATTTCCGTCACCAGCGTGTGCTGGAAGAGGTCAAGATTTATGGAATTTCAATTGATTTGAAGTGGGCCATTCCGCTCACCTTCTCGTACGTGTCTAGCATCTCTAATAAGACGGCAACAAAGGCATCTATGGTCATTGCTTTCGCACTATATTCGGCAATGTAGTACGAAAGGCTTGCAAAGTGATGACGTGGCAGCAGCGAGCGAGCCTTCTCCTCCACCATGGTCGCAATTTGACCTTTTCGTCGAGCTCTATTTTATAATTGAATGACATTAAGTGACATTATTGAAAGTGAGTGTGAAAAGTGTCCTCACCTCGTTCCCGTCGGGCTGTAGGCATCCCAGGGCTCCATCTCGATGGAGGTGCACGAGTGCGGCACCTTGCCCACGTCACGTATCACCAAGGACATGCGCTTGTGGTACTTCAGCTGGCCCACAGCCTCGTCGTGCGTCACATCGAGAAAGGACTGCCCGTTGACCTCCAGGATCTCGTCGCCGATCATCAGTCCGGCCCGGTCGGCCACACTATCCTTGTCTACGCCGGTCACAAATATCCCCAGACCGTACTCCACTCCGCCGCGAATCATCAGGCCCAGCGACTGACCCGGTTCGATGAGCAACTCCACGCGTCGTATCCTGCGGGTACAGAGATGTATTTTTGTAAATGGAATAAAAAACTCTCATGAAATATATTTTTCAATTATTCTCAATCTCTCCTAGTGAATACAATAACTTTCATTCCCATTTAATATTGACTTATGGCTTTCGCCATGGCTCGTATTGCGCCTCCATGCATTTCCATCATTTATGAAGGGGATCCCCCAGAAAATTTGACAAAAAATCTAAAAAATAATTTTCTCCCAGATTTTGATGCAGATTAATAGAAAATCGATCTACAAATTGTTTATGGTATCCCGCTTAAGAGTCAGATGAATATTGGCAAAGATATGGCCATCGCCATGGCTTATATTTGGCCTCCATGCATTTTCATCATTTTTGAAGGGGATCCCCCAGGAAATTTGACAAAAAATCTAAAAAATAATTTTCTCCCAGATTTTGATGCAGTTTGATAGAAAATCGATCTACAAATCGTTTAAGGTATCCCGCTTAAGAATCGGATGGATATTGGCCAAGATATGGCCTTCGCCATGGCTCATATTGGGCCTCCATGCATTTCCATCATTTTTGACGGGGATCCCCCAGGAAATTTGACAAAAAATCTAAAAAATAATTTTCTCCCAGATTTTGATGCTGTTTGATAGCAAATCGATCTACAAATCGTTTAAGGTATCCCGCTTAAGAATCTGATGGATATTGGCCAAGATATGGCTTTCGACATGGCCCATATTTGGCCTCCATGCATTTTCATCATTTTTGAAGGGGATCCCCCAGGAAATTTGACAAAAAATCTCAAAAATAATTTTCTCCCAGATTTTGATGCAGATTGATAGAAAATCGATCTACAAATCGTTTAAGGTATCCCGCTTAAGAATCTGATGGATATTGGCCAAGATATGGCTTTCGACATGGCCCATATTTGGCCTCCATGCATTTTCATCATTTTTGAAGGGGATCCCCCAGGAAATTTGACAAAAAATCTCAAAAATAATTTTCTCCCAGATTTTGATGCAGATTGATAGAAAATCGATCTACAAATCGTTTAAGGTATCCCGCTTAAGAATCTGATGGATATTGGCCAAGATATGGCCTTCGCCATGGCTCATATTGGGCCTCTATGCATTTTCATAATTTTTGAAGGGGATCCCCCAGGAAATTTGACAAAAAATCTAAAAAATAATTTTCTCCCAGATTTTGATGCAGTTTGATAGCAAATTGATCTACAAATCGTTTAAGGTATCCCGCTTAAGAATCGGATGGATATTGGCCAAGATATGGCCTTCGCCATGGCTCATATTTGGCCTCCATGCATTTTCATCATTTTTGAAGGGGATCCCCCAGGAAATTTGACAAAAAATCTCAAAAATAATTTTCTCCCAGATTTTGATGCTGTTTGATAGCAAATCGATCTACAAATCGTTTAAGGTATCCCGCTTAAGAATCTGATGGATATTGGCCAAGATATGGCTTTCGACATGGCCCATATTTGGCCTCCATGCATTTTCATCATTTTTGAAGGGGATCCCCCAGGAAATTTGACAAAAAATCTAAAAAATAATTTTCTCCCAGATTTTGATGCTGTTTGATAGCAAATCGATCTACAAATCGTTTAAGGTATCCCGCTTAAGAATCTGATGGATATTGGCCAAGATATGGCTTTCGACATGGCCCATATTTGGCCTCCATGCATTTTCATAATTTTTGAAGGGGATCCCCCAGGAAATTTGACAAAAAATCTCAAAAATAATTTTCTCCCAGATTTTGATGCAGATTGATAGAAAATCGATCTACAAATCGTTTAAGGTATCCCGCTTAAGAATCTGATGGATATTGGCCAAGATATGGCCTTCGCCATGGCTCATATTGGGCCTCTATGCATTTTCATAATTTTTGAAGGGGATCCCCCAGGAAATTTGACAAAAAATCTAAAAAATAATTTTCTCCCAGATTTTGATGCTGTTTGATAGCAAATTGATCTACAAATCGTTTAAGGTATCCCGCTTAAGAATCTGATGGATATTGGCCAAGATATGGCCTTCGCCATGGCTCATATTGGGCCTCCATGCATTTCCATCATTTTTGACGGGGATCCCCCAGGAAATTTGACAAAAAATCTAAAAAATAATTTTCTCCCAGATTTTGATGCAGTTTGATAGAAAATCGATCTACAAATCGTTTAAGGTATCCCGCTTAAGAATCGGATGGATATTGGCCAAGATATGGCCTTCGCCATGGCTCATATTTGGCCTCCATGCATTTTCATCATTTTTGAAGGGGATCCCCCAGGAAATTTGACAAAAAATCTCAAAAATAATTTTCTCCCAGATTTTGATGCTGTTTGGTAGCAAATCGATCTACAAATCGTTTAAGGTATCCCGCTTAAGAATCGGATGGATATTGGCCAAGATATGGCCTTCGCCATGGCTCATATTTGGCCTCCATGCATTTTCATCATTTTTGAAGGGGATCCCCCAGGAAATTTGACAAAAAATCTAAAAAATAATTTTCTCCCAGATTTTGTAGCAGTTTGATAGCAAATTGATCTACAAATCGTTTAAGGTATCCCGCTTAAGAATCGGATGGATATTGGCCAAGATATGGCTTTCGACATGGCCCATATTTGGCCTCCATGCATTTTCATCATTTTTGAAGGTGATCCCCCAGGAAATTTGACAAAAAATCTAAAAAATAATTTTCTCCCAGATTTAGATGCAGGTTGATAGCAAATTGATCTACAAATCGTTGAAGGTATCCCGCTTAAGAATCGGATGGATATTGGCCAAGATATGGCCTTCGCCATGGCTCATATTGGGCCTCCATGCATTTCCATCATTTTTGAAGGGGATCCCCCAGGAAATTTGACAAAAAATCTAAAAAATAATTTTCTCCCAGATTTTGATGCAGGTTGATAGCAAATCGATCTACAAGTCGTTTGAGGTATCCCGCTTACGAATCGGATGGATATTGGCCAAGATATGGCCTTCGCATTGGCTTACATCGGCCTTCCAATATAAATCTTTTAAGTTTTTTATGAAAAACAATATGACACACTCTAAAAACATCTTCTGTTTTATAAAAATTAACATAATAATATTATTTAGTTTTTTAAACTTACCGATCCCTTCGGTCGCTGCGCCTGCCCCCGTACTCCATGGGCGGGGAGGCGGGCCGGCCGTGGCGGTCCATCCAGGAGCAGGTCTGGCGAAAGGGCAGGCCCGCCCCGGAAGCGGCCGCCGCCGCGGCTGCCGCCTGGTTCTGTGGGTGCAGGGGGGGTGCCATCGACGCGTACATGGGGTCCCGCGAGGGGGGCCCGAAGCCGTGGAGCGGGGCGGTCGAGTTCAGCGTGGGCGGTGCACGCACCGTCATACTGATTTGGCGTGACGATTTCAATATCTGCACACATCTCTGCGTTAAGAAAAAATGTGGCAATAGAAGAGACACAAAAGAGGAGACGGAAGATGCGAGCAGAAAAGGAACGAACCAACAATAACAAAGAGAGATAGATAGATAGAAACAGAGAGAGAGAGCGACAAAAAGGAGCAAAATACTAAACTAAAATTAAATAATTAAAACAATAGAATAGTATTCAAAAATGGCTTGGACAATATACTGTGTGTGGGCAGAGTGGTGGCAAAAATGCGACGAAATTATTAATTAAGTTTAATTGTGGACGTGTCCGTTGTTGCCAAATAAAAGCCACTAACCGACCGACCGACCGACCTCTGACCTCTGACTTCCATTTGTCGCCGGTTGCTGTGGCCGGTTTTCCGTTGGCTGTCATTACTTTAATAGTTCTGGCCAAAAAACTAATGTGAGAATGTGCAAATTTGTGTTTCTGGCCAAAAAGCATGAAAAGGTGGCCAGGTGGTGCAGGTGCTCTGTGAATCCTCACACATGTTTTGAATTTGTTGGAAATTTTAGTTTTCATTCTTTTGGAATTTATTCAGGAAACTAAGTAAAGCTTTTGTGGTTAACTTCTACTTGAATAAAATATTTAAAATGTCCTCAGTTTCAAGCAATTAGTTGGGAGCAATTTTAGAGATTTACTTTTGAATTTCACTTTGTAGAGGCTGTCATGTCCGTCAAATAATTAAAATTAAAATAATTTAAATAAATATCAAAAAGTACAAAAATGATGAACAAAAATTATATTCAAATATGCGACTAATCTATTGCCAATTTTTTCTCAGTGTTTAATTGTATTAGTGTGTTATTGATTTTATTTTCATATATTTTCATGTCGATGTATCGTATTTGGTTTTAGTAATATTCATACAAAAATGTACCAAGTGCATAAAGATTTAACAACTACGAAAAATCGCTCAGAGCAGACAGCAATCGATATGGGGAGGGAGTATCTATACTATATAGATACATAGATACTTGTATATATATTTGCATTTGGGTTTATCATGGTTGCCCAAACAAGTTGTGTCGAAAATGGTTAAAGTTTAAATTGCTAGAAAGCGTGAGAAATGGCACACCACGTACCAGGACCTCGTCGTCCTTCCGTCAGTCTAGTAATCTATATGAAGAAGAATTGTATTGACTATCATAACGTGTCACATAAAATATTCCACAATAAATTGACTTTCGTTGTTAGGCAGGCCAAGGAAGCCAAGGGAGTGGAAGGCAGAAATCCTTTTCTTTTGGTTACTCTGTCAAGTGTCGGCCATAAAAGACGACGATGGCGGCCCACACTGAATACAGTCTACAGTTCTGGCCATGTCAGGGTACACATGTTTGTGCCTGTGTACATGTTTGATGGATAGGGCCCTATTATGGGCCACTATTAAGGACCAGCGATTGACAAAATGAAGCTGCCAGGCCCAGAAGCCGGGCCCAGCCAGGCTAGAGAATCGCATTAAAAATCAATAACGTGTACAATAAAATTAGATAATATTCTGTGATGGCTGTCACATCGGCTTCCACACTGACAGCTATTATTTAAATATTTTAAAGCTTCTATTAATTGAAATTTTCAGGACTACCATATTGCTGCTGTATGCTTTAATCGATTTTTGTCTAAGAATAACATTTTCTACTACAAAATATTCAGGAAGAGTATAAAAGAGATATAAATATATATGCGATTTTGTATATATTTTGAGAGATGCTCACCTTCAACGCCTCCTCGTGATTGATGGAGGTGAATGGGGTGCCGTTCACCTCTAGGATTGTATCACCGGGTCGCAGTCCGGCGCGCTCGGCCACCGAATTCTCCTCGATGCGCGAGATGTAAACGCCTAAGCCTACGATGGCGATGGTAGACATGCAAAAAAAATTAAAAACAAAGACAAAATCAATTAGCAAGCCGGCTCTCACACATTCAATTTTTAATAAAAGTTCTCACACCTCCCCCATCCCTCCGGCATGTCCTCAATTACACCGATCCCGGTCCCCTTTCCTTGGGCTTTTCACTTTGTTTTTCATTAAGCTCAGCCGGTTGGCAATGGTCTGAGGGTTGGGAGGACTGGGAGGACTTGGAGGACTGGAGGATGGAGTACGGCAGCCATTTTATGTTTAATTTATAAAGCCCGGCCATGTGTGTGTGTGTGTGCGGCAGCCAGCACAATGCCATTGAGTAGCGGAGAGCGGGCAGGGCGGAAGCCTGCATACGGGGCCAACTTAAATAGATTTTTATCGATTTTAAAGCCCAAGTCCGCATATTGCAAACTAAAAATAAATTCTACAGCAGGAAATGGGAAGTAAGGAAAGGCTGAAAAGACTGAAAAACGGGGGGGTATGGTTGGCTGGACGGATGGATGGCTGCTTGGCTGGATGGGAATGAAGGAAGGAAGAGCTGGTTAGCCAAAAAGCTAGTCAGGTGCAAAATGCACTTGGAAATGTCAAAGCTGCTGGCGGTTTGTCACACACACCCCGACACCCCAACACTCACTAGGTAGTACACGTGGATACATGGACATACGACTCGGAGCGACCCCGACAATAAAATGAAATTGAAAACTAAATTGCACGTAAGAGCTTCCCAAGCCAAAATGGGAAACCAAACCCCAACCCAAACCCCAACCGACTGGGCGTGACGTGGAATCAAACGGCAGGGGCGGGGCGGCGTGGCTCAGGTAGCTCAGATGGCTCAGGTGAGAAAATGCCGGTAAATTTCACCTGCATTGGAATTTCATCGAAAGTGGGATTTTCCTACTATCTATTCTTGTTTTTATCTTCAGGATTTTTATGAAGACAACAAAATTTTAGAGTGCTTCGGTATTAAAAATATCACATTTTAATATTTACCTGAGTCTTTTCCTCCTTTAACGCAGATTCCAAAGCCATGATCTATTTGCTGGTCACGTGACATGGAAACCGTTCGCGTCGTGAGCTCATGAATATTGGGAACACTGCGATCCCTTTCCCGCTCACGATCCCGATAGATCTTGAAGTAGATGTATTAAAAATTAGTAATTGATTATTTAAGGATTCAAATCCAATCACCTGGTGGGTTGTGGAGGGCGGACTGCTGGCCGGACTACGCCTGCCCGTGCGATCCCGCGTGCCACCGTTGCTGTAGTGATAGCTACTCGTAGGAACTGAAGACGACTGCGTGGCACTTGCCCCGAACATGCGCAGCACCTGCTCCGGCGATATGGGTCGCTTCTTGTTGCCGTTGCTGCCCGAGTGCTGGCCCATCGACCGCCCGCTGGCGGCCGTCGAGGTGGGCAGGGTTCCCGCCGTACCGGCGGCCATATGGCTGGCGGGTGAGGAGCTGAGGTAGGCGCTGCCGCGTCCGGGCAGGGATCCGCCCTTCGTCGGCACGCCCGCCGAGTTGTAGTAGTAGTGCGGCGAGTGGGGGCGCTCGATGATCGTGTAGGAGGTGCCCGGCGGCGAGTAGTATAGCCCAGAGCGTCCACCCCCGCCTCGCAGCGAGCTGGTGCTGTTGCCGACACGTGATCCCCCGGCCGCTGCCGCCGCTGCTGCTGATCCGCCGTAGGGTCCGCTGCCCGGCGGCGGACTAATCATGCCGAAGGCCAGGCCAATGTCCTCCGCCTCATAGCTGCTGGCCACCGCCGCTCCACTTCCGCGCAGATGGTGCGCACTGAGGCCCGACGATCCGCCCGTCGGCACGCTCGACGACGACTGCGTGGCGCCCGCAATGAGGCCGCCCAAGCTTCCGCCTCCGGCCGAGGGTCCAAGCCCCAGACCGGCGGCGGCTGCAGCGTTGGCGTGGTATCCGTAGGAGCGGGCGCTCCAGCGCGAGGGTCCAAGATCACAGAGTTCGGCATAATCGTTGCCAGCTGCGCTCATTGTCAGGGGGTCGCCGTCGTATGGAATGCCACTGCCCCCAAGGCGCATTACACTGCTGGAGCTGGAAAATAAATGAGAAATATTAGAAGTTGTCAGTCAAAATGGAATTGCTTCTTGGTTCCCCTTCAATGATTTTGAATATTACTCATACGCCATGGTTTCCATATTACTCATACGCAATGGTGGCTCATTAATGGAATTAGTTTTTAAAATTCACTTAATTTCAGGCCAGCTGGTAAGACAAACTAGTTTTTGTAGTTTTCATTTTAAAATAATGTGTCATACATGGCGTATGAGTAATTATAGCCACATCACTCATACGCAATGTGGGCCGTATTTTATAAAATAAATATAATCATGTATTTATCAAAAAAAAATAGCACCAAGAGACAATAAATATTATTTAACCATAAATATATTTTAAAAGCCTTTTCATAAAAACTTTGTTTACAAAACATCAAGACATATACATATTTCATGAGTTTTGGTCTGATGCACTCCGGCACATTATGGCAGGTATATCCAACCAGAATTGGGTTAAAGTACCACTTGCACCTCTCTCTCCTCCCTGCTCTTCCCTATTCAATCTGCAATCCCATGAACAACTTTTGTTGGCGAACGCAACCCGCTAAGCCGCAGTTCAGACTGAGCACCATATTCAGAGCAAACAATAGCTTAATCTCCAGAGTCATATGGTGTACAGAGTACAGAGTACCCCACCCTCCTATTCCCCATCCATCCCACACATACATATTCATTTCCACACACTACCGATTCAATGGAAACTCATGGCCCATGCTTCATTATTTATGAGCCAACTTTGGTTGGCAAAACAAAAACAGGTTAACACAAAGGCAGAAGCTCCATGTGCTCCGCCTCCCAAGGGGCTGGATGCCATTCCCCCAGTATCCTTCCCCATATTTTCACACCGTTCACCGTTCAAAGGATGCGGCTCTCGAGGATGGGCGATGATGGGGGTGAGGGGTGGACTCTGTGCTCATACATAAATAGTTGAAAATTGCCGTGCTCACTCATAGCCACTCGGTTTTCCAGGGCCATGGCATGACGGCAGTCCTGAGAGCTCCACGGCATTGGTTAGGAAATTCGAGCTGTTATTATCCGCAAATATAAAAATTGAGCCACGCTGGTATGCATTTATCGACCAATTGGTGATGGGGGTGGAGTGATTTGGGGCGGTCAGAGGTCTATGAATAATATTTTACTTAAATCGTTTATTATGTTTTATTTTCCCTACGAATTAAATTAAAAAAGTTACTGCAAACGATTATACCAATAAAAGTTGCATCAAAGCCATAAATAAAACGCTCTCGATTAATCGAGTGTGAATAGCAAATAAGTTTCGAGTACTCAAATACTCGTTACTATGTGGATTGAGTTGGGAAGTTGAGTGAATGTGTGTGTCTGCAGGGAGGGGAGGGAGGTGGTTGTGGGGATAAAAGTGCACTTTCTGCTAAGCGCTGAAGAACAAAGCGCCGGCCAATTTGGTTTGACGCTTAAGCGCACTTAGCGGTCGACCATTGGCAAACACAAACACAATGAGGACACGCACACAATCACAGATACAGACATACACACACATATAGATACAAATACACTTACACAGAGACACCTACGTAATGGCTGGCAATTGTGCTTACGTCTAACAAGCAGCCAATAATGTCCTTTTTGATTTACCGATACACATTTGCATTTCTTTCTGCCACACAACAAATTGGCAAGCAGACGCCATTACAAATGAGCCACACACACACACATGCACTAACAGGAAGAGGAAGCTAAAACATATGTGTGAGTGAGTATTTTATATAAATATCAATAGAAGCATCAGCAAAAGCTTGCCCATATTATATACATATATGACAATATATTTCTCAGTCGTTATTTTCGCTGCTATCCTGCACTCTTCTATTTCCACCATTTATTCCTTTTTTGTACTTTATTTTATTTATTTTGTTATATTTTTTTTTGTTGTTGTTGTGTCGTTTGTTCTTGTTGCTGCCTTGGCTTTGTTAGAGAATAAACGGCAAAAACAGCATGCTCCAAACGTATTTACTCATGACCTTGCTAAAGCAAAGCCAGCACACACACTCATACACACACACGCATCCTTCGTCCTGTGGCAGTGCCAGCGAATTGTTGTTGTCCCCGGTTGGCGTTGGCGCTTGTCACAAGGACATTTTTCATGTGCGGAATGTGACATTTGTTAGTCTGACTCTGGTTTGTGCCAGCCAGCCATACAACCAACCAGCCAGTCGAGGCGAGTCAAGTTTAGTTGAGTTGAGAGTGCATAGAGATGCACTGTGTGATGGAATTTATTTAAAATGTATCCTTTTTTATTAAAAATGTATAAAAAACTATTTAAAAGATATATATTCCCTTATACTCCCTTATACTCCCTTCCCTTATATTCCATTCAAACTCCAAGTACACCATTATATATCTTGAATAAAGTCATAAAATATTATTCCTTGTAATATTTCTTTATTATTATTCTCTCTCTCTATTCTCTTTATATATATTTTTTATAGACCTCTAACCACTGTATTTGTACTGTACTGCCTTCCTCCCAGCAGCTGGCATTTCTGTTGTAACTATTCCGATGTTGCCACCGTCCTGACCCCCAAACCTGCCTCTTATCTCTGTCCTCCTGCTGCTGCTGTTGTTTGATTTGAAAATAAGTTTTGTATATTGTTCACTCCAGTTTTTATGGCACTCGAGCCTATTCGGTGCATGTTGCATTTAGTCCTCGTCGGGGTGTCCTTTTTGCAATTGCAGGCATTTGTTGTTTTTGAAATGTTTGCATTTTTCAAATAATTGCTAAGCACATTTCGATGTTTGGGTATTTGAACAAAAAAATCGTTGAACTACAGGGGAGAGGATGTAAGTACCATACTATAGAGTCCATATAGTCCATGTTGAACCCTTTTTCGTCTGGCATTAATAATGGATGCTTAATATGCGGCGGGTATTTAACATTCAGCTCTGCGAGAGCGCTTAATAGTTGCTGGAGGCATATTAAAACATTAACCAAAGCTACAGAGTTTCGCCGGTAAAAGCCCAGGGCATTCATCAACGTTCATCATCATCAACGATTTTTTCTTCCTTTTTTTCCAGACCCCCATTCCCCTTCAGAATGTTCTCTTTTTTTTTTGGCGGTAAATTTCTGGGGAAGTAATTATGATAAATGCAGGATATACGTACGAGAGTGTGGGGGCGCATGAGTTTGCCTCTGCGGCATGTCGAACTTGTAACTGGGTTAATTGCGCGTAAATATAAAGAAGGTAACACTCACATACCCCTCCCCATACACACATACACTGAGATGAGGGGGAGTCTGTTTACCATTTCCTGTTTCCGCTTCCACTGCCACAGCCACTGCTGCTGTCAATAAATCTTGAAGAAGATCTCAGAGAATTCCGATAAGCGTCAGCCAAACAAGCAGCAAAGCAAATTCTTCAGTTACGTGACTTTCTTTTGTTGGCTTTGCATGAAAATTTGCAAAATATCTTCTGCCAGAAGTGTAGTCTTTACTACTCTGGTGATAAAAACTGCAACGTGACAATTACCGAATACAGCATTTTAGATCTCATTCATTTATGACTCATGAGTAAATCTTGAATTCCCCCAAATGATTATGCAAGTAATTGTGTAACCAGTAAGTAAATTCAATTTTCCTCTGGAGGATATTGATTACCCGCAGATGAATGAAGATAATCCAAGGACACCATCCTTGGAGTGACTCCGAACAATGGCTCTGCTCTTTAGCCCCGGAGGCCTCGAGAACAATACATAATGCAGTATGCACATACATCTTCATCTATTAATCAGTTTTCGGTAGGTTGTGGCTCAATTAAGAGGGCCTTTTGGCTATTTGAGAGTCTTGTCGGAGTGTGTGGTACAAAGGATATAATTTAACAAGGAAACCTGCTCTAAATTTAAGAGGAAAAAAGGCTCTTCCTTTGGCGAACTTTTCACTGGGGTTGAGGGTGTGGTACTACTATGATATGCTTTTGGGAACAGCGTCACGTAGACGACAAACGAAGCCAGAAGAAAATCTGTTATAATAAGATATGCACAAATGCACATGCATAAGTTAGAATGGAACCCAAAGAAAAGCCAGCAACAAACCGTGGCCGAGAGAAGAACCAACCAAGTTGACTTACATGTCAACTATTGATTTTTTAATTAAATATTAATGAAGCACGAAGAACGGCAACAACACCAATAGAAACAGCAGCAACGGCAAAAAAATGGCACAGAACACGCTCGACAGCCAACAAGGAAGTGGAACGCCTCAGGTATTCCACAAAAACCAAAAAGAAAAAAACACCGTCATGACACAGAAAGAAGGGTAGCCAGGTGAACCAGGTATGTATAGGAGGACAGGTATACGAAATATACGGGCAAATTACGAATTTTTAATCACACGTCGCGTTTGTTATATAAGAAAAAGTATCAGGACTCTGTAGGGCAAACCTATTCCGCAGAAATATATATAATAACGTTGGAAGAAGGCGAACAGAAATCAAATAAAATAAATATTCAAAGCGTCGTCTCGCTGTCCCGCCGCCTACCGCCGCCCGGTTTTCCGCTTTTCCGCCCTTTATCCCATTTTCCTGCTGCCTGTTTCCCTTCTTTTGAGTAGGTCGTCTATGCACAGACACGCAATAGCACTGAGAGAAATAAATATAAATTAATTATATGAATTTCTTATGGCTTTAGAGTCCTATTTCCCATTTAAAGCTTAAAATTTAAGTCACAACTATAGCCAGATTTCTCAATATCCTTTTGTAAATATATCCTTTTTCTCTCTGTGTTCTAGGATAAAACCAAAAAAAAAGTAGGAAATATGTGGAAATGTAAAAGGCAAATGAAACTAACTTTGGAGCACAAGAAGCCCTAAAGGGGGAGTGCCAACGAGAGACAGGACAGCCAGGACGGGCTGGCATTTCCTACAAAACACACTGAGCCGCATTTTGTCCAGTCACGAAAAGTTTTGGCCTAAGCCCTAAAAAACAAAAAATACAAAAAGCATAAAAGACAGAAAAACAGTAACAAAGACATACACACGTAGATACATCGGATGGGGGGGTTCAGGCACTCGAGTCGACAAAGTCTCAAGTTGAATGAAGAACTCACGCAAGTTACACACAAGACCAGGTGGCAGGACGAAAAGCCTAACTAACATGTTATGCAGAGCAGGAATACCAGTGCTGTTCCTTGATGTCCTTTGCCATGTTTACATTGTTTCCCGGGGAATGCAAAGTTGACGCATTTAAAAATTGAAATTTACGACGATAATAAATAATAGTAGATATAGGACAGTAGTCGTCGTTGACATATATGAAGAACTCGTATATTTTTCAATCATAATCTAAATCAATTGACAGTAGAACATGTCCTGGCATACTTTTCATTTGACAATTTATGTCGCCGCATTTAAGTATTCTCCATAAATCTTCAACAGAATATTTCACATAATTTGGCTTGCCAAACTGCAGCCCATAAGCCCCTTAATTATTGTGTCAGCTAACTGAACGTTAATAAACCACCCATTGTCATGAAAATAAAGTCCAAAAATAACCGCCAGACCAAATGGGGCACGAGCCAAAATCAATAAATACATAAAAGGGCCAAACAATAATAAAAACAAGGCCAAAAAAAAGGGACATACTATAGATACTCTTTGTAATTTATGGAAGAGTACAAAATATAAATAAATATTTTTAAAAAGCCATTCCTTCAGTAAGCTTACTCAATAAAATTATTAATAAGCCTGCACTTCCATAAACAAACGATGTCAGACTCATCGTAATCGTTGAATTGCGTGGAGCCTCCATGGCGGTACTGGCTCCGCCACAAATAAGGATAATAAGCCAGCAATTAGTGTCACCGATAGACTTGCTGATGCCACGAAACGGAAAAGAGCCAACGGCAAGACGAACCTTTTTTTTTCCATTTAAAGCCATTTTCTCCAGGCCAGCAAAAAAGGTTAAGCGAGGCACTCACCCCTGGCACAAATCTATTATCCTACATCCTTTTCAGAGAAGCAGTAGAAAAGTTGCAAGGACAAATCGCACAATTTTTATTAATATTTCTTTTTGCATTTTTCTATTTGGGAAACTACTGAATGGTCCTTGCTTTATATACTCCTGCCTATTTTCCCACTTCTGGCACAAGTCCTAGAATCAATTCAATGGCCAGAGCTGGGGGAAACTTTCTTAATACAAGATACTTAAAGGACTCGCTGGCAAACACGCTCACAACTATTCCGGTGGCCATTCAATTGCCACCTTCAGGGTGGGGCTGTAGTAGGTGGGCGAGGGATACTTGTGTCCTGGCCTAACACAAACCGAAAGTCTTAACTGAATTAAGAGGAAAACTTGCAACATTTCTATGGCTGCCTACCGTCCTCCACCAAGGTTAGCTCACTTAATGAGCTCCTGGAGTGCTCGGCTCGAGTTTACACACAAACATAAAGGATTATTTGATATGGCAGCTACGCCCCCCTTTTAACGATTTACTTCTGGCTGGACACCTGTGCGTTGGTCACTTACTCCCACTCCGGGCCAAGCTTCAAGATTGATTGTTATGCCACCAAAAACTAAACGCAGAAGGGGCTCGGCCTTTCAGGTCAGCTTTGGTTTGGTCACTTTCGGGCCACCTAATGATTGCTGGCCGAAAAAAAACAAAAAAATGTCGGATAGTGCCAGGTCAGGGTGCGTTCAGGGAATGCCTGGGGTGTCACCCACACCTTGGAATAGCATAAAACAATTATTGGAATTTCCTTCTTTCACCTTTCATTCCCACCTGCGTGGGTTGGGTTTTTGGCTCAGTTTATGATGGTTGTAATTAAGATGGGAAAAGGAAACACCAAATCGATATTCAATAAGAATTTATTTAATAATTCCACTTAAGTTATGAGAGCCACTTTAAAAAGAAGTCCATCACAACAAAATACATCCTGACCCAACCATTATTAACGATGGAGTGTCAACAAAATAACAAGAGTAAGATATTAATGGCCTAAAAAACACATTCGTGGCCGACACTCGCCATGAAACATGGTCTGAGTAATAACTATTTAATGAGTTTATGTCACAGCCGGCCGAACACACAGGAGGCTAAAACTACTTGGCTACGAACCAAGAGGCAAGTAGCAAGTAGCAACTGGCAAGTGGCAACTGCCGTCATCGGGAGAACATTTCCATCCACTGACGCCATTTAATTAAAATTTGCGCCTAATTAATTGCCGAAAACGGAAGCGCACAGCCTGACAGGACATTGCGCGCCCACTAGGCGTATGAGTGATTTTGCTTGTTTTGGTTCGTTCGGCGCACTAATTGAAAATGAAATTTTTGATTTTTGATTTTAGGCCTTTATGTGGTGGGGCATTTTATTGTTCAGCTTGCATGATTGAATTCGATGGCTAAATATTTCCCAATTATGCATAAATTATTATGCTACTACCGCCCTAGTGGCCATCCGCCATTGGGCATCGCCCATCACCCATCGCCCAAGAGTAGGCAACACCTTTGTTGTTTCTCGTTTTGTTTTTTTTCGGTTCGCTGGCATCATTTCTGCCCTGCATAATTGATGGCTGAGCTTTTAATTGAAACTGAGTTGTGGTTATTACGATTGTAAGTGGCGTTCGCAAGCGTGATTCTCGAGCGTTGGTGGGGGAGTGCAAAAAATTTATGCAAATTAAGACTGCACCGAGGGCGTTCGCAATTAAAGGGAAATTGCAGCATGAAGCGGAACAAGAGAAAAAGAATGAAAACGCTGTAATTGAAGGGCATTTGAAGAGGGCGAAGACTGAACAGTGCTTGAGATAGGGATTGACGAAGGTGTCCTTGAAGGCGTTAAGGAGGGAGGATATTTTAAACGGAATTTGTTAAGATCGTAGCTTGGAATCTTAACCCCTCTAAGCTTAAAATGTATTAAATTATTTATAGTAGAACTATCCTACAAGGAGATAAAATACCCCTCCTTCGTTCGCAAACCTCTTTTTGTAGCATACTTTTGCGGGCACTAAGCACACAAACTTCTCACCCATTCAAAAACCATCAACACAATCATTTATTATACAACTTATATACAATTCCACATTCAGTCCCTTATCTATGTCCTTTTTATGTGTTCATTTCACTTTTCGGGTTGCATGCTCACCTGTTTGAAATTCTAAGGATACATTAAAACTGCCGTTGCTTGCCGTTGCTCTGGTTTGTGTGCGAGAGAGTGTGTGTGTTTTTGTGGCTATTGGAGGACTCTGTGCTGGCCAGTGTTCGGTGGCGGCTTTGGGTCCTATTGAATTGATTGTGACAGGACCGGACGCTGGTCCTGTCCGCACCACTGTTGTCCTGCTGACAGGCTTCCTGCAACAGTCAGCTGCTCGATGCTGCTGCTGCTTCTGCTTGTGGCATGCAAAGAGTTTTCCCTTTGAGTTCTACAGTTCCTGTCACTTTATGCGCTTGCTGCCCCTCGATGCCGCCACGTTGTGGCGAGAGTGAAAGTAGATTTTTTTTCTTTTCGCCTGCTCCTTTGTTGTATTTTATCGTGGTGAGTTCGGTTCGGTTCAGGACTCTCCCTCTCTGTCCCTTGTTCTCCTGTCAAGCTCTCCTCTCTCTCGCTCTCTTGCGGAGAGAAATTTTTCGGTTGAGTAAATTTTATAAATTATTTTTCTTTAGATTTCCAAAGCAGTTTTAATATTTTATATTATTTTACTTGTTTTTAAAATTTTTTTAATATTTTGTAGAGCTTCTATAGGAAGCTGCAGGACATGCTGGATTAACGGTTTGCGTTAGCTTTCATACAGTCTCTGCTCTCCGCTGAGCTGCACGCCTATAATCTGGCAAACTTGCGTACTCCGTGCCCTTATTCGTATTCGTACACCCCGCACCCGTACCCGTATCCGTATCCGTCACCGTATCCCGAGCAAGGACTCCGAAACCGAATTTTCGGACTGTACGACTCCGAAATCTCTGTCGTACGTGGCGAATTTGACGTTTTGTGTAATTTAACCTTCCTGCCCTACTCTTCTCGAATGCGTCATCGGGAATCGGAATTTGTCGAGCAAATCGAGCAGAGCACAGACAGTAGCCAGAGCCAGTCCAGTGGCCCAGAGCTGGAGTCCAGAGTCGAGTGGCTTATTTATTTGCTTAATATTTTATTTGGCACTCGAACTCGCACTCGCGCACCCACACACTTTGTTGCACATGTTTTCGTACTATTTTCCTCGTTTATTTGGCTTGTTTTCCTTCCCCGCATTAACCATACGCCATGTTGTACGCCAGTCCAGTGTAAGCCAGAGGCTCAGGCCTCAATACCAGTTGAGAGCCAGAAGGCCAAAAGGCTTCAAGGTTATGATTTTGCCTTCTTAACAATAAAAAACGAAAGAACTCTCCTTCATCTGCAATTGTTATCCTTGTTCTTGTTTTTTTTTTTATTATTTTTCTGCCTTGTCCTGGAGAAGGTTCATCTGAGGCCCGTTTGCAGGCCGTTCTTGGCTGTATCTATGGACATGGCCTGTGCATATTTGTGCACAAAAACCAACAAAAAAAAAGCAAAAGGACATCATCGAAGGAGGAAAATCGTTTCGCACATTACACACAACAACCAGAGGGAAGAGCCAGAGTTGCCCTGACTCTCTCCTTCTTGCGCCTTAGGCTGCCCATAATTGGCATTTTTGTTTAACTGGAAACATATTTTTTTTTGGTAACACTTTTTGGAAACTTTTTTCTTTTTTGTTTTGACGTTTTTACGCGTTTATATGGTTTTCGAAACGTGTTTGCTTTTTTTCTTCTGGGCCAACGCTGAGCCCTCTGCAATTATTTTATGGTAATTTTTTTTTTTGTTGCTTTTTTTCTTTCCACGAAGCGCGATTCGGGCTGCGATTTGTAGTCCCCTCGCCCCCTGATTTCAGAATTTTTTCGGCGGAGCTCCGCGTCTTGACCGTTTGGCTCCACTTCTCCGACTACTTTGGGGGCTTCGCCATCGCGCTAACCAGAGGCCTCGGCCCGAAAGCTTTTCCCCCGATTTTGGCGACATCCTGGCGAGCTTGGCGCCTCTCTCTCTCTCTCGAGCTATGTCTCTTTTGTTGGTCTTGCACTCAAAGTTTGCGTTGTTTGGATTTTGTTATTTTAATGTTCACTGAGCAGTCCCTGAGCGGCCAGGATACGAGAGGCGTTGGGCGGCCATATGGGGGAGGTGCAGTCTCAGTCTCGTTTTTCGTGTGCTTTTGAGGATTTCTTTCGTGTAATTGTTTTCGTTACGTTTGTTACGTTTGTTATGGGCACCAGGTCCACATGCACCTAAAATGTAGACGTAATTGTGCACTTGGAAAAATTTTAAGGGTACTTTTGAGGATATTTTTTATTAAAAAATTCAATTGTTAATATGAATTTCAACAGTCATAAAAAAAAGAGGATTTTCAATAAATATGATTAATTATTTATACTTTTTTGAGTCATTAATCTTCTTTAGCTGGTTTCTAGAGCTCATAAAACCTTTTCTAAATATTCTTTTTAACAAATTTTTATTCATAACCCTTAAATATACCATTTAATAACTCTTTTTTTAATTATCAGTACTACCCCTATAATTTTAAACCTTTTTAAATAATAAGAAAACTCTTTATAGAACTCTAGACAATTTTTTTCTATAACGCTGCATTGAAACCTTCTTCCAATTAAGTGTCTTGGTGTAACCATAAAAGCCATCCAACAAAACCCGCGCCCATCAAGAGCCTCCCAGCCTGCCCTGCCCCCTCAGCTGCCCCCTGGCGGGACCCTGATGAGCAGTAGAGTAGTATCAAAAGCAAAAGCAACTCACTCAATAGTCCGCAAAACGAAATGAAGCCCCATCCGCAGACGAGGCCCAAAAAGAACCAGGTAATACGAAAGCTGCGGAAAAGCTCTCACGTTAGTCTCTCCTGCGAGCGGCTCTCCCGCATACTACTTTTCACTTTTGCTCTCTTTTGACGTTTCTCCCACACAGGAATTCAACACAGCTGGCAAAGAAACGTCAAAATATGTGACAGGAGCAGAGAAGGCCAGTAGAAGAAGAAGAAGAACTTGGCAAACTCCAAGTTTATCAGGTAACAGAGCTCCTTTCTCTTAGGCACTCTGGGGATGCTGTCCATAATTTTTTGTGTGTGTGTGAGTGTTTTTTTTTTTTTTTGGGAGAGAGAAAGTGGAAAGGTGTGGGTGATGGCACGACACGTTGTTGCATTTTCGCCTGTCAGAGAGAAAGCGCTTAAAAGCAGGCAACTGAATAGAACGGGTTTGGGATACTATCATGCGCCTATGGCGGGTATTTCTAATATTATTGGTGTTTATAATATAGGAATATTTTACATAACTATGTTTTTAATTAAAATACTATATACTATACTATATATAGTATACTATACTATAGTATACTATATACTATACTATACTATATAAACATAAAAATTAATCTTCTTTTATTTTAGTTTACCAAAAACAAGTTTAAGAAGCATTTTTTTTAAAGACAAACCTTAAACTTTTCCCAAATACTCCCAAATATTATGTCCTTTTTCTTACCTAGAGTATTTAATACTTCGCCTTTGAAATATTTAACCAAGTTTCTGCATTTTTTATGTTCGGCTGCTTTTTTGTTTGAAGGTTTCGGCCTGGTGTCGATGGAAATGTACACGTGCTCTATATGGTCGAGGGAATCGTTAAAGGAAGAGGGCGCAGCCCCCAAAAGGAAGGTGGCGTGTGAGCCGAGAAGAAGGCCAAACTATACTGTCGTCACTGCTTTCCTCGGCCACCCCGACCGCCTCCTTTCTTTTCAAACTTTCTAATTGAATTTTTTGTTTTGACCTGCAGCTCTGACCCTGTCTTATCAATTGTTTCGTGTGGGTGGCCCCAGTGTATGGGAAATTATGTCATACTGGCTGCGTCATTGTGTCTGCTTGAGGTTATTGATTATTCCTTGTCGGTTATGACGAAATGCGTTTGTACGCTAAAAAATAACCCCCACCTCCTCCCTTCCTGTATTGCGGTTCTTCCTGTTCTGCTCTTGACTTGCACAACTATGACGTCATTGTTAACCCCGGAGCTTTCACTAGAGGGACCCCGGCGCGCCCCCTTTTTAATGTCGCCCCTGTCCACCACCCAGCAGCCCCTTGGAGGAGCCTCAACGTCAGGCCAAGTCAGCTCATTTCCATTTCCATTTGATGCCTGATGCGGATTTTCACTGACTACTAGTTTGGGAAAGTTTGTTTTTCGAGAGCTTTACAAGTTCTCAACCCCACCACCCAATTCACCCACTCCTCCCACTCCCCCACCCAGACGACCTTTTGCCTTTCCATCTCAATTTGTTTGCCGCTGTGGCTTTTATTATTGCCGCACGAGATTTATTTTTTGTCATTGAAGTGATCTAATTAAAGTTTGTGTGGACCCAACATTAAGAGCGTCAAAACAGGCCAGCCGAGGACAAAACAGGAGAAAAAGGATAACGAAATTTGTTTTCAGCGAAAGTTGTGGGCGGATGAGGCTTGTCGGAGGTGCAACTTGTTTTCGTTTCCAAGAGAAAGTTGTTAAAAAGCCAAAAAAAAGTAATTTATTTCAGTTTACTGCCGTCCCCGTAATGAGATGTTTTGACCCGCTAACTTGGTACTCCCACCTAGCCCCGCTCTGACAGCCTTGAGGATGCTGATTTGGTTTGAATCCTTGGCCAAGTTGTCTTGGCATCAGCTGCCTGATAATCAGATTTATCCACTTTCCTTGGGAAATGGGTTAAACTTTTTCCTTTGACTTTTAAGAGGTTAAGTTTCCACAGTTCCAAGCGACTTTTCTAATGCCTACATCTAATTTAATAAAAAAGTTTTAGAATAGTTCTAAAGGCATTCTATATCCTTTATCCCCCTTTAAAAGATTTTCAATTTCATTTTGGTACAATTTATTTTGCAGTAGAACACAAGCTATCGCCTTCAATCAATGTATTTACAATATTATTACGTTTTTCTTCTCAGATACTTCACTCTTTAGACGTCTATCGTATTTTAGATTTTTAAATCTATGTAGAATCTTAACTCATTAGCTTGCAATGTATGTTGGTTACTTACAAAAACGCAATTACAATTTCTTAATCAACTAAACGTAATTAGGTTTTGTGCACTCCATTCGGAAACATTCAAAAATGGATATTGTATCTTAAGTATCTTACGGCTAGTGTATATTTGTATTTATAATACACGTACAGTGGGTAAAAACATCTATACAAATATTCCACTTAGTTTTGTGTTGGAAAATCCTCAAAGTAAAGTACAGACACAAGGCGGAGTCCTAAGCTCCTCCTCAAGATCCAAAAAATTATTGTACCACATTTAGAATATCATTTGTTGTGTATTCAATATTACACAAGTGTATATGTGTGTTTGTTTTTGTAAATATCAGCAAATATTCCAGTAGAGTCTCTATAAATATATGTTTTGGATTGGTTTTCCAGCGACAGCGACCTGTGCCGTGAGCTCTGGGCCTGGTGAAAATCAGAGATTACAAAAGTGTTGCTAAACGCTAATTGACAGGGTTAATCGAGAGAAACATATCGATAAAATATCGATTAATCGAAACTATCTCTCTCCACGTTCAATAAATAACTTAACGAGTTACGAGCCTAAATAGAAATTGGTTTTCTCCAGTTTTGTCATGTGCGAGTCGAACTCTATTTACAATCCATACTATACTCCATACTCCTAATCCTTACTCCTCGCCCTCGTAGCCCAGACACCATAGCTGGGACAAGGGCACGGCCATCGACTAGCTGCCCGGCACGCCCTCGTCCTTGCGGGGCCTGAGGATAAAGTTCAGGTTGTAGTTCGTGTTCACCGCATAGTAGACGTTGGCATTCTTTGGCATAACCAGCTCCTTGTCCGGCAGCACCTGCGCCAGCGTGAACCGATCCGGATCGTCCTCCAGGCCCAGCTTCAGCATCGCATTGCGGATCACCTGCGGCGTCCGCTCATTGTTGCCCAGCATGATGCTTTTGTAGAGCACAATCCCATCCAGCTCGATGTTGTCCGTCTCGTACGTCACCCGGATGATGTAGAAGTCTGGGGCGGATTGGGGAGTTCCGCCCGCTGGCTGCACCAGTTGGGCGTTGATGTGGGGCGATCCTCCATTGGTGGTGCCATTCCCATGCGACTTGAGGCCATTTCCCATTGACTGGGAGTGCGTCAGCTTGCCGGACTGGCGGCCGCCGGAGTTGCTGGAGTCCAGGGACAGGTTGGAGACACTGCTCGAGGCGGACATGAGGGAGGCGTGCTGATGGTGGGCGTCCCGGTCCAGGGAATTGTGCCTGGAGCTAGTGCTGCTGTTCAGCTCACAGTAGAATTGCGAACCGGCGCCACTGCTCGAGTTGGAGTGGATGGAGTCAGTCTTGCGGTGGCCCAGGATGGAGGCCGTCGAGGAGGCGGTCGTATTGGTCAGCGAGGTGTTAGTGCTGACCACGGACTTGCGGGGCGCCGGTGGTGGAGCTTCCAGGCGGCAGCTCAGCTCGAAGGCCTCCCGCTCGTCGAAGACCGGCATCGAGTTGAACCAGTGATCAAAGAGGGCATCTGCCTGCAGGTTGTAGGTGTTGGCCGCTCCCTGGAGCAGCTTGATCTGGGCCAGGACCTCAAACTCTTTCCGCTTCTTGTCGAAGTTGATCAGCTTGTCCTCGGTGAGGTAGTCGGGATTGGCCGTGTGGATCATAGTAAGGTCGGTGAGGAAGGTGCCCAAGTAGGGTATCGTCCCGTGGGATGTCTGCGTTCCAAGATTCTGGATTAGTTTATGGAGGTGGCGATCGCTCTGATCGCTGGCCGGATCCGGGTTCTTGGCAGTACCCTCGCGCTTCAGCACCTCTCGCAGTGTCCACGCGTTGTTGTCCTCCGAGCAGATCCGAGCCAGCTCCGTGAAGACTTCCATCTGGAAAGGTGAATGATATAGGGTTATTATGGTTTCTCTAGGGATTCTTTTGGAAACTCACTCTTTCTTTGGGCAACACCTCCCAGATCTTGGACAGCCTGTAGATGGAATTGGAGTTCAAAGCAGAAATGATGGCCTTCAGGGAACTAAAGTTCTTGAGCATGCGCAGCTCCTGGGCAATATCAATCCAACGTGAAATATTAAGAGCGCGCTCCTGATGGAAAAAAAAGATTCCTTTTAAGAAGTCCTTTTAAGAATTCCTAATATTAACTCACCTGTGGCTTCAGACGATCTATGAGTATGCTGGACACTACCCGGAAGAGCACCGCATTGAACTGGTTAATGGTGGCCACCACAGTCTCTGATCCTCCGCTATCCCGCCGCGCCCACGTATGGCCCAGGCACTGATGAGGAATCAGCCTCTTGAAGAGCTCCGTGTCCATGCGGGTCAGCTGCTCGGCAAAGTGGCGCACGGGCACATGGGGAAAGCGGAATGCTTGCAGGAAGTGAGTGGGTCCTCGGTAGATGGGTCCATGACCCATTGGCGACAGATACAGCCCGTTGAACTGGTCCGTCAGGTCATAGGAGGAGCCGTAGTGAGTGGGAATCATAAACTGCTGCACCTGCTGCGTTCCAGCAGCCGAGAGCCAGGAAAGACCGTTCCCCTCCAGGCCGACACCACCTCCGCCGCCGCCTCCGCCACTGCCGTTGCCATAGACGGACTGCCGGATGAGCCGCTCCAGGCGATTAAGCACCTTGATATGCAGATCGGAACGCTTCAGTCGCTTGGTGGCAAAGGCCAAGATCTGCAATAAAGATTACTTTTTATTAGTTTACATATTTTATTTAAGTTTTATCTTTTCCCACCTGCTGCAGGTTATCCTCATGCCAGTCCTCTGGGAAACCATCCAGCCACACATGCAATGCCGAGACCAGCGTTTTCTTGTGCTGCTCGTGAATGGAGGCGTGCGGATCGTAGGCGGGGTCCATGGCCTGGCCGCTCTGCTGGGCCTGCTCCACCTCCTCCAGGTGTTTCTCGTGCAGAGTGTCGTACCGCTGCGTCAGCAGACTGAGCACCTGCTTGGGTGTGGAGAAGGTGCGGTAGGTGGACAGAAACACGTTGATGAACGTCGACTCCAGCTCCCCGTCATCGGTGGCGAGGGCCTCCACCAGACGGGCCAGGGTCGCTGCCTTGACGAAACGGACTCGCACGGTCTCCCATTCCAAGTGGGAAATCTCATCATCAGAGTCCTGAAAAAGAAATTAAATATTATTATCAAATGTAGTGACTTTTTAGAGCTTTTAAGGACTTCTTCAAGGCTACTGCCTTCTTTAATCTCTTAATTGATTTAAACTAAACCCCAATCAATTAGAAAAGCCATTTTCTATTTTCCAACCCAACTGCAACGATGCTAGTCGACTAAGTAATTGATATTGGGAAAGTGGATTTACTTACATTGCTGGCCGTGGGCGTGGGTCGGTGGTATCGGACCTTCTTCAGGTAGACCGTGAAAATGGCGTTCTTTTCATGCTCTTCGCCCCAAAGGCGCCACGTGGGCTGCAATAATAAAGAAAACAGAAAGTTAATTAAATGCATTTAACTAATTTAATTTAAGTTCAACAAATATATACTAAATTAAATTTATTTCTATAAATAATCTTTCTCAATAATCCAAAATCTTTCGAAAATGTATGTCAAAGACCAAGATCATTGCTAATTTGCTTTATAATTTATCATATTCTATTAATAGAACCCATTTCCGATGTATTTTTCATTTATATCCCCTTAATACGACACAAAAAATGCTCAAATATTTCCAATATAAACATTATGTCTCTCAATTTTTGGCAATTGTTTTGAATATAAAAATTGTTTGTTTTGGTGGAAATTCGGTTGTCTGGCATTTCCATTTCCATTCCGATTTCCATTTCCGTTTCGAATGGCATCTTTGGCAATGTTAAGGCCCAAACAACATTTGTTCATGTCTAGTCCTAGGGAGGTATTTTAATTGATACATAAATTCTTAAATTCTTTGCTAATTTGTTGCGTAAAAAAAAATGTTAGCAACTATATGAAAAAGAAAATATTTTCATAAGTGCTCTGGCTAATTGGAAGTGAAAAGTAGACTTGGGAGGCTATTGCTTGCCAAGTCATCCACTCATTAATAATATTCAGTAACGATATTCCTCGATTTCTTTCCCAATACCCCTATCCCTCCAAATACTTGAAATTTTTTCGCCAAACCATTAAAATTCTAATTAGAAATCCAAGCAGGGCGAGTCTCTTACCAACTGTGTACCTCGTCGAGTGTTTATGTAAAAACTATGTAAATACTAGCTCCCACACCCACCCATGGCCCCACACTAAACAGGGCCCAAGTATTCGAATTAAAAATTTACTCGCCGCAATGCCAAAAGCGTGAAAAAAGCATTAAACACCCAAAGTGAATGAATAAGCATAATCAAATGGAATAAACGTGCAACAACAGCAACTACAGCGTGCCACAAGAGAAAGGCACGCAAAAGTTTATTTTGGGTAGGGGTATGACAGGGGAGTGTGTGTGTGCCTTATGTCTGATGTCTGATGTGTGTTTGTTGTGTGTCTGAGGGTATGAGTGGTGGCGCCCACCAATAATAAACAGCAACAACAAGTTACAACAAAGTGGTTGACTAAGAGAAGCCCATGTAAAAAGATTTTAATATCATACAGAGAGAGAAAAAGATGTGACAATTTATGGCAATTTTTAAAATTAAAAAAGGTCTTATCAACATATAGTTTTGAATATCTATGGAAATAATTTCCACTTGATAAGCCCTTCCCTAACCTAGTTTAATTGATAAAAATTTTATAACTTTTTATATAATTTTATTTATTGTTTATATAATATATTAAAATCAACTGAAACTTGGAAAACTTTTCTATTATTCTAAATTATTGCCTAAAATATTAAAATAATATTAAATATTAAATTATAAAATTACATTTTATCACAAGCCTATCACATCATTACTTCTAAAACCACTTGAGAATTTTAAACGAATAGAAAAGTGTGACCAAAGTTCAATGTAAATATCTTATAAGTATTTATATATCTTATAACTATGAATAGAATTATTAAATACAATTAAGATACATATTTCAAAATCACCATTAACTCATCTGTAGTTACAAACACCCTTAAGCCCTTTTCCCATCAAACTATTAATTCCAAAACCCCTTGAGAATTTTAAACTAAAACAAAAGTGAGACCAAAGTTCAAAACCATTTGTGATTAAACATATTTTTATAAACAATAAAATTTTAATTTCTGTGCAAACAATGCGACATCAGTAGCAACGCCCATCTGACCCCAAATGGGAATCCGCCGTGGAATGCGAAACATAAACATGATTTGATGAGGGCTTCGGATTGGAAATGAAAAACAACAAAAAAAAAGCAGAGTACTATATAGTAGAAGAGAAAAAAAAAGCCGGGGAGGTTAACACACGAATGTGGTGGGGTCATCCATCCATCCTAGACAGGCCGACATCCCCGACAGACGGACAGACACGAATCTCATGTTGATCCAATTAATTGCCCGCATGCGCTTTAATTATACCAAACAAAGGCGAACAGAATTGCTTAAATGTTTAGTTCGTTTAGCATTTCGTAAATTTTTATTGAAGTACTTTAATATTTCGTAAAAAAACATGTAACAACAAAAGAAATAGAGTGTTGGCTGGCTAGCAATTTGTTTTTGTTTTGTGTAATTGTGCATAAATTTTGTTTGCCGCAGAGATGGATCTGGAAACAGCTGAAAAGTTTCCAAATGGCCTTGCAAAAATAGCAGACAAGATGGGGAAATGTACCAAAGGGCCTCCCCAGCGACTAGGCGTCGCTCAGTTGGGAAATCTTTCGTTCGAAATAGTCCCCAAAAATAAGTATCTTCGTTTCCTGGTGCCAAGTACTAGAGCCCTTAAGAACAACATCTGGGTGGGAAGTTGCTTTTTATGGCTATGACTTCCTGGTCACAAAAATGGCAATTGTTTTGTCTAATTGTAGAGCAGGCTCTTTTTCCCAATCTATCTACAATGTATATTATATTTTGCAAGTATATATTATAGAATGTGAAGGCAACATTTAATCAATTCCGATTCCGAATCCGATTCACGATCGACCCCGCCGGCAGAGACTTTTTCTTAGCGGCATCTGCCAAAAAAAAAAATACACATTTTCTTCCTCTGTTCTTGATACGTATTGTGGGATATACACATATATAAGCTATACTGTATTTATTTAATTTATTTGTTATTTATTTGGCATTTTGTTGTATTCTGTGTGTATGTTTTGCTACTGATGGCTGTTGCCTTATAGCGCCGTGTTCCATACTTGGTTCAGTTGTTTTTGCTGTTTAATTAATGACGCATTATGGCATCTCGGTTCAATAGTCATTTGCGTCAAAACCGAGGCGAGTGATACAACTGCTGCTTAAAAATGATTTAAGAGCACATCTTGGATAGTAAATCAAGTATTATTTCAAGAATTTAAATAACCACCTGACTCATTGTTGCAGATATCAGTAATAATGCTTATGGGAGTACTAGGAAGTATTACTACAAAGAGGGCATTGTCCAAAAAAACCAACAATGAAATAAAACAAATATTCCGATTTGAGAAAACCTGATAGTCTGAGCTACCCATTGAATGCTACAATTATTGCGCTTTAATTGGCACTTTAAGGCCTTACCTCACCGCCTCATGCCTCAAATTCTTGCATGCAACTCAAGCAATTAATTAGTGTCATTTAACAATCAATTGGGCAAACATAATTAAGCCGGATATGACTCAGGCCAACATGGCTGCAATTAGCCAAGTCACACAAACCAAATAGAAGCCAAAAATAAAAGTTTGTTAATACTTTTATTAGTATTTAGTTCAAATATCAAGTAATACCTTCGTGTAAGTATAGTTCTTGGCATGGAGATCCTTGGTCTTCTTGGAGAGATTCCTCAGCGTGGCTCCTGTGCAGGCGCACAGGTACTTCAGGCTGGCCACCACCTTCCGCTCGGCATTGAGGACCGCCGACCTGGAGTCCAGGTCATCGTAGGAGTGGTAGGAGCTGTTCCTGCGCGGTTTGGCCGAGGCAGACCGGCTCCGTCGCTGCTGCTGGCACATCTGCGGAGGTGGCGGTGCCGGGGTGGAGGATTTTTTGCGCTGGCGGGGGCAGGTGTGGCAGTGGAACTGCTTCTTCGGCTCCAGATCCTTCTCCGGCTGGTGGTAGGCGCAGGACTGGCTGGACGAGTTGTTGTTCACCTGACGCCAGGCACTGCTGAAGTCCGTGTTGTCCAGGGGCGGCATTAAAGCGCGATTGTAGCCGGCCAGGTCCTGCAGCTGGTAGGCGCAGGTGTGACTCTTGATGAGCGCGGACTTCTGATGGCTATGCTTCTGGCTGTGCGGGCATTTGCAGGAGCGACTTGTGAAATTCTGAAATAATTTCTTAGTTCAGAGACTTGGCTGGTTTTTTTGGGAGGGTCTATAACCCCTGAAGTGACTGCTTTGTACTTGATCTTGGGCCGTGGTTCATTGATTGGATGCGTCCCTCAACCCACTTGAGCTGTAGTCTCAGTTCGTTCACAGAGCCCCTGACCTTGGCTACAATTTGACTCCAAATACGCTTCATACACACAACGGCATCACATTGTTCAGCTGTGTTTTGTACATTTTTTTTTTTATGTTTATGAGCGGCTCGGCTAACACAACCCAATGGCCAAAAATAGACAAAAAAAAAAACAATCGAGCCATCCAACAAACAAATAAGCGAAGAAAAACAACCGAAACAGTGACTCTGTTTGCCTCAAGTGGCGCTCACTCACTCTCCTCCGAATTTGGCCAAGTGGGAAGTGCCGAGGGCCTGGAGGAGATTTACGGGCAATCTCAAACGGATCCAACCATTTCATATTGTGCTAGGCACGTCGTTCATCCCGGCCTATAATCATAAACAACATCCCAATAGGCCCCCCCATCTGGGGCCTGAGATGTGTTCAACTTTTACCAGGAAGTTATTATAGTTGCCTCTGTGTTTTAATGTTGTTTTTGGGCTTTAATATTTCACGCCTATAGACAGCTGCGTACAGGTTTGGCCATGGAGAGGATACTCTAAAATAAGGAAAGTATTTCCAAACCAAACTAACCAACATATAACTTATAATCTTTACATTTCCCTCTCAAAACACAAGAATGTAATCTTCCTTAGATTCAATCTTTTATTATTTTAATAAATATTTTTATAATCTAAGTAATATTTCCTCTAAAAAGAGCATTTCCACTTCGACTACACTGACCACAAGCCACAAACAATCTTTCCAATATTTTGCCTTGCTAAATATTTTCTTGTCTTTGGCGTGAAAATTGCGTTGCGTTTTCCTTTTCTCCGCAAGCTTTATGGCGTTTTTCTTATGGCACCGGCAGAGATGAAACGGCCCAGCCCATTTCGTGTCGAGTTTAGTTTACCCATAAATTGAGGCCAGCTCTGGCTATTTCGCAGTTTCCCTCAATTACAGCCCGACCTGGCCAGGTTGCCAATTACATAACTCGTTTCTGGCCAAAGAGATGTCATCTCGGTTAGGAAAGACCCTCATTCGGTTAGGAGAGAGAGAGGTCAGCAGGTCGTGCGTGAGGAACCGGAAAGGTCTCGATCTGGAGTACGTGCCTCGCGTGGCCAGAAATTAAATTACCAAGAAATGCATCAAAGACCTCACAATCAAATACGCATCACGAAAAGTAAATCGAGCGCCATAAAATCATAGAATCGTTTCTATAATTTCAGGCACGTCCTTTCTTCCGTTTCGGAATATGCGTCATGGGCTTGGGAGGTCTAGGATTTCCTAGCCAAGGCGTTACAATGAACTATAGTTCTAGAAGTTCTATATGCAATGGGAACAAAGCTCTTCAGTCGAGCATGAATAATAAATAAAGCTTTATATAGAAAATAATTTTCAATGAAAAGTTACATATATCTTTTAAAAGAATGAATTTTTAAGATAAAAGTCTCTATAAAACCTCCTTGATTATATTAATCATAAACACCCTGATTTCCAATAGATAAGAGAAACAATGGAAAACCTCTACCGATTGCAGGAAATCCTTCAAGAGCACGAGACCTCAGGCATTACCGACACGACTTTGTAATAGTTTCGATGGAGATGCCCCCCTCTAATCAATATGCACATTCATTGCACTTAATCTGTACCCAAACACACTCATTTCATTCACGTTTATTATTACAACGAATGCCAAACGAGAATTCTCATTCTGAAACAGAACACGACGACGACTCGACATTAGCATACGGCACACGGGCTTTACCTTTCGAGGAAAATGATTCATCAGAAAATACCCGCCCAGAAAAAAATATTAAAACAGCGTCCGAAATAAAGCTCATTAAAAAAAGTGATGAAACATTATATTATTATAATAATTCGAGGCGCGTAATTGTCAAACATACAGATTCGTGTTTGTGTATAGAAGCGCTCCAATTATAAAGAAAATAATACCCAAAGAGGGGGATTGGCTGATTGGTACAGCCCACATCATCTGGCTATATATAGAGCAGGTGACCTTTCCTCCAGAGAAGCCGCCGAGTGGGTGGTGTGCTTTCTGGTGGGGGGGTTTTCTCAATTACAGAGCATTGCAAAAATAACCAAAAGTCGAAAACAAGAAAAGCAGCAGTCTCGAACATCAAAGAGGATGGATAATTGTGAGGTTTCTTGAGATAACACTCCCTAATTGATAGAAATTCTTACATATTTCTTAAATATTGCCTCCAAACACATGCTAATACAACCATTATTTTGACCACATCTGTAGGATGCATGGATCTATATATAGATCGGCAATCCCTGGCACGAGTTGTGGGGGAATTGCAATAAAAACAACAACCCAACAAGAGTGCGCAGCAGAGACTGAAACTAAACACTGGGTCTCTTGCCCCACCTGGGTGCTGGCCCAACTGCCATCCAACTGACTGACTGACTAAATGACTCTGACGGACTGTCTGTCAGTCTGTCTGTCGGGTCTCGGGCCCCAATCCCCTGCAAACATTTGTTGCTCCCCCTCGTTACTATATCATTGTCGTCCGTCCCCCCCACGCTCGGCCATTATCAAACCACATCCGCCGAGCAGAAGCAGCAGTGGAGATGATGTACCGGGTACGGATCCCAACAATACGAAAATATATATCAACTTGAACTAAAGCTTGAGCCACTGAGCCACTGAGCATAGCTTGAATTTATTTTTATGCCTTCTCCACTCTCCTCCACTGAAGAGAGGAAGAGGCGGAGCTTTTGTTTTGCACACAATGGGGGTCACATAAATATTAAGAGAAGGGGGGGCCTGCCCCGCCACATAAACACAGCCAGAGACTGCATGACCCCAACTGGAAATATGACAGGTTGTCATATGAATCATTCACAAGGTACCATATACATATGACCCTTCCCCAATCGATCCCTAGTCCTGCTCCCGGAGTCGGATTTTATTTCTGGATTCCAGCCAAGGCGTAAAGTTTCCATGCCATTGGCTTTTGTACATAATTTCTGTTGACATTTCTGGTGATTCGAAGCCCAAGACACAAGTACTCCGAGTACAGTAATCACACTCCCCAAGTAACCAGATCAAGTACAAAGCAATTTATATTCGGGGACTTGGGAAAAAGTTGCACATTGATTCGTTATAGGCTATCTAAGCTGTTGTTTTTTTGGGGTGTTAGGGTGGGGTTTATTATTTGGATAGGGTATAAGTGGGTAGAGTATTCTTTCTTATGTGCATCTTCTTTCCCTTGATGTCCTGGTTACCATTTGAGATTGGCTTTTGTTCCTTCGAGAATTCTTGCTGAGATTTCCGTTGTTCTTCTTCTGTTTTCTTTAATTTCCACGCCTCCTTTAATGCTTTCACAGTTATTTTTATTTCGTACCCCTCAGCACAAAGTGCAGTTCAATGGGGATTGTTGGGGGGATTGCTGGGGGGACTGGCAAGTAAAATCGATATTCCTGCTGCTCTTTTTGCTGGGCTTCTATGCTGAGGCCGTGGGTTGTTCAGCTTCCTGAAAGCGATGAGTCAACGGGACGCCGCGAGAAACACACCCAGGAGCGGGTCAGTTGGGTGGGTGGGTTGTTGGTTACTGGCTACCAGTAGTCCTTGGTCCGTTAGGAAAAGTTCGTTGCACTACGCCGATACCACGGCGTCTGCTTGTATCCTTGTGTTCTTGGTATATTCTTGTATTTATTTTCACTTTTTTTTTTCTTTTGATTATGTGTATATCTATTGCTTTTGATATTGTTGCTTCTGTTGCGGTTGCTGCACTTTCACACGCACTAGCACTACCGAATTTCGGTATCCCGGGTGCATTTTCAAAGCAAATGCGAACGCCTTGCTTGCCGAAAATCTCAACATGAGATATCCGTGTAATTACAAAAACACTATATGTACAAAATTCACATTTGGGGGTTTGCTGTAGACGCCCGGTGGGTCGGTGGTCGGGGTCAGGGGGTGGCAAGGCAGGAGGCGGCGCAGAACGTAAAACGCGCGCGCGACACACACACAAAGTCCGGGGCAGACACACGCGACACAACCGCCGCCAACAACAGTTTTTAACAACAGTACTCGGAACTAATCAGCATTCCCACTGTAGACCTGCTCGCTTTGACTCTGAATGCGTTCCACCATCCACATATTCCATAGCTGCCAAGCGCCAGAACGAAGCTCCCACGAAATGGGGCTCTCCCGCTCTCACTCAGAACTTTGAGGTAGGGCACAGTGGGGTAGCAGTATAATTGATTTTTACAGTTTTTAACTATTTTGGGTTTATTTTTAATACCCAAGAATCTTAAAGATATTTAAAACTAACTTTTAATAAATATTTAAAATTAATTCGTAATAAATCTTTCTTTATTTTGTAAAACTTTTGGGAAAATTAACCATTTCACTCCACTGTGCAGGGGTGGTTTTCGTTAGCATCCCCACTTTAGCTGCGCTGCTCTCTCTGCGTCTCAGGTAATCTCACCTCGGATCGTGGGAACTTCGAGCACCCACTCTCATTTAATACCCGTTAATTCTTGATTATGAGAATGTATTTTTGAATAAAAGATGAGTACATTTCCCATTATTTAAGATGAATTGCAATTTTTGATCAAATTTAACAAGAAAATCATAAGAAAAAACTATTTACTATCATTTTGATCTGCTAAGTATGCTACAAACAATTTTAAAACATTTCTAGGTTTATTTTTATAAATATTCAGTATAATTCTAGAATAATTTTCCCCTGCTTGATACCTATACTTATAATTTTGTTCTTCGTTTAAAAAACTAGGTATCAGTAAGTCTATATAACAATTTTATTGAGATCCCCTCTTCTTGCTCTGTTTATGTTATTTTCTTATAAACAAATTAATTTTTGTATTCTCATCACACTCACTCTCTCTACTGTATTCAAATTTTAGAATAGATTTTTAGTATTTTTTCTGACAACTTCACACTGACCGCCACAATGGGCATTTGTTATCATTATCTTTACGCATTTATCAATGGAATTTATGACCCTTCTTAAGCTGTAAGACTTCAGAGTTCTTTTTTTAAATTTTGATTAATGCCGAGAGAAAAAAATTCAAATTTTCTTGTTTGTTTGGGCCTATCCGTAAACCGCTCCAAACAAGCTTTTCGAACTCTCCAATGACATAATATTATGGTAATGGGGAATACCTTAAAAATACAGGTATTGTCTGAGGTTTGGTAACGACCCAAAAGAAAGCTGGCGGGAAATCAATAAGCTAAAATATTAATAAAGCGTTTATTTACGCAAGCGCCAATAAAAGTTGTGTTGCTTTGTAGGCTGGCTGTGTCTGTTGAGCAAACATTAGACCCCAAAACAAGTCAATTGATCAATTAGCGAATGCAACAAGTTACAAGACAAAGGCCAGCCCAGTGATAAGGCCACGTGAGAGAGGGGTACATTGATAGACTGTTATGCACTTTGGGATGCTGATAAAATTTATTCGATAAAAGGAAAATGGTCCAATTTGAATAAAAAAATGAATATAATTTTAAATTTAATCCTACTTTAGACATACTTATTTTAAAGACCTAAATATTACCAGAAACCCAATCTATAATTATTTAACTTTAAGGTTTTCTTTGGAGGCTGATATTTTATATCGTATGTATATCGTATCATACTGATCAGCCACATTTGGTCATATTTTCTGGTTCACTTCGACTTGCGTCACTAAATATTTAAAAGAGCAATTAGCAGATATGGGAAAAAGCTTCCACACACAGTTGCCAGCCCTGAGAGCTACTTTCAAAATGACTTTCTATGCATTTCCACATTACTTTCTACGCATTGGCTATGCTTCACTATATACTATATAGTATACTAGATATGTGTACAATGTTGGAGCTACTCACCAAACTGTCGGCCACATTTTGACTCATTATACTCTGGAGCTTTGATGATGGCCAGATGCTGCAATTACTTCAAGGTGCGTGTCGCTCGGACTCTGGTACGATGCAATTGCTGATGATGATGACTGGTATCTGTCGGATACGCGCATTTTGGCTTGGCACAGCTAACGATGAACAAAGACTCGAATACACACACTTTCTGGTACACACTGACACGTGTAAGGCGATTTACTTATTTATTTCTTTTTTGGGTTGTGCAATTCGCAGCAACAAGCGGATGTATCTGCAAGATACGCGACCAAACTTGCAATCGTATCGACACAAATTTCAAGTTTTCTTTTCCATTTCGTTACCAAACTGAAAGAAAGCGACAAAAAACACTCGAGTGAAAATCATTTCAGCTCAATGGAAAGTGCGACAGCAGCAGCGGCGCGTAAATGAAACGGTCAATAAAAGTTTTACGAATAAAAATCACAAAAAAACTACATTTCTAGCATTCCAGAGGCTTAGAAGCCACAAGAGCACGGAGACCAGGTTACCGCCAGCGCCACAGACCACAGTCCAGCAACAACTAACCTAACGCCGTGGAGCACTTCGCTACCGGGAATGAAATAAATGCGGTTTGAACGTGGCGCGCAAAAGATTTACGGTATTCAGCTACGATTTTTACAGTGGGAGGGATGGTCAAGATTTCTGATTCAAAATATTTATTATTTTGTTTTTAGGTAATGATAATAATAATAATAATAATAATAATAATAATAATAATAATGATAATAAAATGATAATAATTAGGAGATTAAATTGAATAGACATTTGTTTTTAAATAATTTACTACACTAAATATATAGACAACCTTTACTCTCGCCTTGTTTAAATTCTTCTAAAAATGCAAAAAATCCTATTTAAAATATAATTATAGATCTATTTACTATGTTATATACATAATAATCCTATTTAAAACATATCATATAATATTTATGAACCTATTTTCTAGCTCATAGTTCTAAGAACCCTATATAAAATATGTACATCATATTTTTTTCAAGAATTAATTTCCTATTGTTTTAAAAATCCTATTTAAAACATGTATAATATCTAAGAATCTTTTTTATATGTTATAGTTCGAAAAATCCTATTTAAAACATATCATATAATATATAAGCATTAATTTCCAATACTATCGTACTAAAAATCGTACCCTTTAAAATATATAATACAATATTTTAAAATCTGTTTCCTATCTGAGAGTTCCTAAAACTCCTATTTTAAATATGTCGTATAACATTTAAGAGTCTATACAATTTACCCACTGTACCCGATCTACGCTACGTTGACAGCACCTAATGATGGATTTCTTTTTTACGATCCGTAATCGCAGTAGCCCCTCTCTGTGGGGCCAACCCCCCTCCAGATAGCGGCTTGTCTCGAAATATTTTGCAAACGCAAACGCAAAACATTAATGAAAGTTTTTCACCTGCGTCTCTGTTTGTTTTTATGTATTTCTTTACCTGTTCGGCAGTCGATTGGTATGTGTTCTGAATAGCCCGCTTAGGCAAACATGAAAAAATGCGGAAAATGTTTGGACAGACAAAGCCAGGCCCAAGAACAAAAACAAACCGAAGAACAGGTACGCAGAATATCGTTTGTCTTCAAAACGAGAGAATTCTTTGGCGATAACTGAGAGAATCAATCTGCGAGAGCACATGGCCGATCAGGTGTTTATGAATATCGTAAAAGATATATTATATTAAATTGGTTGGATATTTTTCATAAAAATGAGAGGAATTTTTAGAAGGAAACTAGGTAACTGAAAAGTAGTACAAAGCTGTACTTTATGCTTAATGTGTCTTCACTTAGAAAGCCTAATCATTAGGGCCAAATCTTGAACAATCATCCAGCTTGATTGCCTTGAGCTGGCTGAGTGACTGACCCTTCTCGGAGCCTCCTCATAAACCCAAGAAGCGGTCGAGTGCTTAATTAATCTTGGCGGACTCCTCCCTCTCGATTTCTACGCCCATTTGTGGTCGAGCTTAGTCGGTTCTTAGAACCATAAGAACATCATCATTAAATTAGCATTTTAAATTTAAATATACAAGTTAATACAAGCCGAATACCCGTCTCTTTCTGTTCAGTCAGCTTGGAGAGCTTTTTTTGCGAAAATTTTTATTCTGCTTGGCTGTTTTTTATTTTTTATTATTTCTTACACCTCCACACAGCTGAGCTGGGAGTCCATAATTGTTATAAAAATATTTATATATGCCCCAATGATATATGGAAGTTCTCGATTTGTTGATGATATTTTTGGTCACTTGGCCTGGCTTAAAACTGGCCCGAACTCTCTCTCACTCTCTGCTAACTGAATGCTCTCTCTTCCTACCATTTGCAATAAATGATCTCACTCTGTTGTAGTTCTCACTTTTTGTTTTTTTTTTTTGTTACTTTACGATATCAAAAATTGCTTTATTAGCCAAAAAACAAAAAAAGGCAACCGAGTTTAATCTTTTTATATTCTTAGTTTTTTGTTGTGGTTGGTTCCTATTTTTTCGATTCCATTTCTGTTATTTCTACTTTGTCACTTTTAACACACGTTTCGGACGTGTTTTTTCGGCGGTAACACGCAAGCAGTTCTATAAAATGGTATAGCTTTTTGGTATCAATATTGTATCTTTAATGGAAAAGTTTTAATTGGGTTTTAGATACTTTTAACTCCCGTTACTTTTCTACTTGACAACTTTACCATTTTCTAGATATTTTTGTACTGGCTCTGTCTCTAGGGCCAACAACTCGAAAACACGTTGCAATTGGCAACTGGTTTACAGCTATGCAACGGCAAACACACACACACACACACACACACAGGAAGATGCTCACACACACCACTATGGCCGCTCAGGTAGACAACCACAAAATTGCAGGTGTGTAAATGCCAATTTTTTAGTCTTTCAACAAAAATTGTATATATTTTTCAATTACTTTTAAACATTGTTACTTTTGTGTAATTTTCGCAATTAATTGTAATTATTTTGGATTTTTTGATTTTCGATAAGAGTGGATATACCTTTTAGATTTTAATGCTCTTTATGGATTTTTTGATGCACTCTTTTTTTTTTTTTGTATTTTCACACACAAACTCGAACTCGAAACTGAAAATGCCATTAATGATATGATGGTAGTGCTGTTGCTGCTCTTTTTTTTTTTTTTTGTCTTGGAGCACTGGAAATTTTCGTTACGCTTTGGCAGACATTACGAGCCAAGCTCCGCATCCGCGACCCCCTATCCGCGTCCGTACCGCACTCCCTCCCCGCCAAAACAATCGCACGACTAGATAATGGCTATATGGGAGCGTACTGGGATCTCGGAAACTTGGCAACTCGGATCCGAACTCGTCTATCTTTGGTTACACGTAGTTTGCGACTGAGAGAAATTCACAAAAGCCGTGAGCCAAAATCAAGCTGAAGCTGGCCCTGGTCTGGTCTTCTGGCCCAAAAGAGCGGGAGCGGCCAAACAAAAGACTGGAAGTGAGAGCGAGAGATTGCTGGCCGGAGAGCCAGGTGATCGTCAAGGCTCTGATTTTAGTTCCCTACCTGCTGGAAGCCTCAGAGCCCTGAAAGCGAATATCGAAAAGAGTAGCCATAAAAACAAAGCACTATAATTTTACCTATAAATTATATTTTCTTTTTAAATAAATTATCTTTTTAAATTCTATTTAAATATGTCTATCTTTTTGCTTTCGTTTTAGAAATAGAAATAAAATAAAACCTTTATATATAACAGGGCATTAGGCTCTTAATTATTAAATGTTTTTTTTTATAAATATTTATTTATTATTATTAATTATTAATATTTTTTAAACCTAGTGCTTGCTCTTCTTCTTCTTGGTCTTGTGTTTGGATTTTTCGGACTTTTTCGATTTCTTCTTCGATTTCGATTTCGACTTTGATTTCTTCGATTTTTTCGAACTAGAAGAGGTTTTGTGCGACTTCTTGGATTTCTTGGGCTTGCTGGAGGACAAGCCATCAGAGGATGAGGAGGAGTCATCACTGGAACTATCATCGCTGTCCTCGCTGCTGGAACGGCTCGTCTTCTTCTCCACCCACTTCTCCGCCTTGCGCTTCTGGGGAGCATGCTGTTGCCACAGTTGCTGGAGTTTGGCATCGATGGTCGCCTCGGCCTTTTCTTCGGGAGCCACCGGCTTGGCGGGCACCGATCCCGGCAGCCTCGGCCCGTAAACGTCCTCGGCAGGCACCTCAGACATGGCTATCTCCCGGTCGTTTTTCAATCGTTCTTCCCGGGATTTGTAGGATATCTTCAACTTGTTTTCCTCGATGGGCACGAATTTAGGTGGAGCTGGTTCCTTGGGCTTCTGTACTGCCTCGTAAAGGGATATGAAAATGCCGCGGGGAGGAGATTTATTCCGCAGGACATTCTGAGATGCTGCCGAGGCTGATGAACTGGGGGGCAAGCCCAAAGACTCTTGTAGGGCAGCTAGCTTATCTTGCGCAGGATTTGATTTGGTTTCCGGAACTGGCTCGGCTTCCTCCTCGTCACCGCTGTCGTCGAAGATACTCTTGAAAATATGCTCCTTCTCCGAAATGGGCTTGTCTCGGGCTTCATCCACCGCCTTCTCTAGAGGAGTTTTCGGTACAAAAGTCGACTTGGGAGGCTCTTCTTTTGTAGCCTTCTCGGGCTGCTGTGGCTCGGGAGATTTCAAACGTTCCAAAACTGGTGGATGCACTTTATCAGGAATGGGTTTCGGCTTCTCTATGTGCTGTGGTATAATCGTTGGTGTCTGGAAGTTAGCCTTAGTGTTTACGGAGGTCTCCAGGTAATCGAAAACAGATATTTTCGTCTTTGCCTTGAGCTCCTTCTCTGGCTCCAGCATCCCGCCACCGAAGGGTTCCGGAATATTGTACCGCTTGCAGAGCAGCGATGCTGGTTTCCACATGGTTTTCGTCCGCTCCATGACGATCTTCCGTTCCTCTGGGGCCTGCTTCTTTTCCTTTTCCTGCTCAGCCTGAACGGTGGTCTCCGAAACGAATCTATCGTTCATGAGGCCATCCAAAGGCCGATAGATTTTGGCGGCCTGGATGAACTCCTTCTTTTCCATTTCGCGATCCCACAGCGACAAGGAAACTGGCTGCAAGTTCGCGAGGAACTTGGAGATCTCGGCCTCATCCTTGAGCTTAGCTGCCACGAACTGCTCGTACCGCTTCTGCTTGGCCTCATTTTCCAGGAAAGGCTTGAAGGTGCCGTCGGATGTGCCTAGGAAGATACATGTTGGATTCAAAACACTCTTTTTGAAAGACTCTTCTAATACTCACCCAAATTCGAGGTCTTTGTGGCAGCTTTCTCCTGAATCGAAGCATTGGTTATCTTCACTTCCTTGGAAAGTGCTGTTTCCAGCTCTTCTCCACTTTCGGTGATTACCCCGCCCTGGGTGAAGCCCTCTGTTCTCGCATTGATGCGTTCCAGCAGTGCCTTGCCTGGATCCTTGAAGGGATTACGCTTCGGAGATGCTACTTTCTCCTGCGCTTCTTCTTTCTTTTTCTCGCCCAGCAACTGCGCCCGCTTATCGGGATTCAGGTCGTGCCTGCCGAGACCTGAGCGCTTGTACTCCGTGGAAGCTTCTAGCTTCCGTGCCCTCTCTTTGTCCAAAGGAGCAAAACGGCTCTTGCGCTGCAGCCAGTTTCTGGGAGTATAGTCCCTGGGAAGATCTATGGCGAAGGGAGCTTGCAGTGCCACTCCCGATTTATCCTCGCTGAACCCATCGATGACATTCTGCTGTTGGACGAACTTCTGCTTCTTCTTTTTGGGCTGCTTGTCCGCCAGGGAGAAGTCATAGCGGCTCAGGTCGTCACGGGCATAAATGTCGTCGTCGTCTTCCTCGAAGGCGCCAACTCCAAAGGCCTGTCCCCGAATGGAGAGCTGCTTGCCCTTGGCCTGCTGCTCCAACTGACCGAAGAGATTGATGTGCTGCATGGTCGTCGCAGAGCTGGAGGAGGATTTCGACAGAACGGGATCCCGACTTAGGCCAGAGTAGCTCATGCCGAAACGGTTCTCCTTGGGCGTGAAGAACATTGGCTCGTAGTCGTCGGGGGCAAAGGTTATCTCCTCATCTTCATCCTCATCCTCATCTTCTGTGTTGCTTTGTTCCGCCTCCTTTTCCTTCTGTGCTGGCAATCCCTCTGCCCCGTAGTGCTCCAGCAGATACTGTTCCCTCGTGTTTCGGGCGGTGGCCTGGCGCTTCTCCTTTTTCGTCTGACGGGGACCCACGCCCTGGCCCGGTTTCCATCCCATGCTCTTCAGTATCCGCACAGCGACCTTGTCGCGCACCGGGCGCAACAGCTTCTCCAGGACCGCCACCCCAGGAATGGGACCCATGTTCATTTCTGGCTGCATCAGCTTGCGCCGCCTCTCTCCGGATCGTTTCTCCTGCTCATCCTCCTTGGCAAACTCGTCGCGAGTACGTATACCCTGTGGAGCAATGCCGAACTCTCCCAGATCCTCCTTGTCCATGAAGTCCTCCGGTCGCTGCTGGGCACGTGGCGTTGCCTTCTCGGCCCGTGAGCTCTTGAAGGTTTGCGGCGTCCATCCTTCCTGGGAGCCAACCGTGTTCCAGAAACCGGCACTAAAACCGCCCGTGAAGGCGCCATGGAATCGCCGCTTTCCGTTCTCATCTTTCACTATCTGGTCCTCGATGGCCAGAGGTTTCTTTGGAGGCACAGCATCTGTTTGGGAATCCAGGATGTTACTAAAGGTTAACCATGCTATCAACAAGCTTACCCTTCTGTATGGGTTCCAGAGGAGTGCCGAAACGGTGCAGATATTCCTCCTCATCCATTTTATCACAAAAATTCAAGCAAATTCCATTTGCTGGCGAAAGAATGTTTTTGTTTTGGTTTGGAGGCCAGTGAGTACACACCAAAGAAATATGCCACAAAAAATACCAAAAGAAGAATATAGATAATATTAATATTTATAGCTAAGAAACTCAAATAAACTATTATAAATAAAGAAAAAAATGTAATTGCTGTCTTTTACCTTAATTTGTATTTGTTTTAAATTATTTATTGACATTTAAGAGACTGGAATTAGTAGGACCATTTTTGGTATTTGTAAAAATACCAGCATCACCAGACTTGTAAGGGGGTGCCCTCCCACAAAAGAAAACAATTCAGATTGCAATTTTTTAAGAGGCCTGCAACAGGAGTTTTGGGGCAAATGGTAAGTTTTAAACGCAATCCGGAGACAAAGAACGCCACATCAGCCTCTGGGACTGGTGACTGAGCCGAGGGAATCAGGTACTGAGTCCAATTACCACGCGAATGGTTGGGGGCTACCTGTGGGCCGTCTGTATTGGTGACTAATGATGTCAACATTTTCTGTTTTCTCCCCAAGCCCATTGCCATTTTTGCTAGAAAGACGTGACAAGAGTGAGAAAAGCCCAATAGGTTTCAACCAAGGAGCACTACCACCCAGGAGAACTACCTACGTCTTCCGTTAATCAGGAGACACACATCTTCAAGCTTACATCCTGGCCACCTGACACGCACACCCAGACAAGAACCAAGAGAGATCCCAGAGAGACAGAGAGAGAGAGCGAGATGTCTGAGAAGAACCTGAAAGTGGGCGCCCGCGTCGAGCTGACCGGCAAGGATCTGCTCGGCACGGTCGCCTACGTCGGCATGACCAGCTTCGCCGTCGGCAAGTGGGTGGGCGTCGTGCTGGACGAGCCCAAGGGCAAGAACAGTGGCTCCATCAAGGGCCAGCAGTACTTCCAGTGCGATGAGAACTGCGGCATGTTTGTTCGGCCCACGCAGCTGCGTTTGCTGGAGCCAGCTCCGGGTTCCGCATCTGGCAGCCGGCGCAGCAACGAGGACGTAAGCGGGGCCACGCCCACGACCGCCCAGCCCACAAAGGCGCGGCTTAGTGGGTCGCGCACCTCGCTCTCCTCCAGCCGGCAATCGCTCCTGGGCTCCCGCACCCAACTGGCCACCTCTCTGAGCGAGCGCACTGCCTCCAGCAGCAGCATCGGACCAAGAAAGAGCCTGGCGCCCCAAAGCAGCAAAGACAAGGAGGCGTCCAGCACTTCCCTGGCCGAGGGTGCCGCCGGCGGCAACGGATCCGGCTCGCATGCCTCCTCGAAGAGGGCATCGTTCGTGGAGACGGGTTTCCTGGAGATTCTGAAGCCACAGTTCACGCCCTCGCAGCCGATGCGGTCGCCCTCCTTCACCACACCGCCCAACTCCGGGGCTGAGGACAAGACCGCCCTGCTGGAGGCGCAGAAGACCAGCGCGGAGCTCCAGACGCAGGTGGCCGATCTCACCGAGAAGCTGGAGACTCTCAAGCAGCGCCGCAACGAGGACAAGGAGCGCCTTCGCGAGTTCGACAAGATGAAGATCCAGTTCGAGCAGCTGCAGGAGTTCCGCACCAAGATTATGGCGGCGCAGGCATCGCTGCAGAAGGAACTCCAACGCGCCAAGCAGGAGGCCAAGGACGCCATCGAGGCCAAGGAGCAGCACGCCCAGGAGATGTCCGAGCTGGCCGACAACGTGGAAATGATTACCCTGGACAAGGAGATGGCCGAGGAGAAGGCCGACACCCTGCAGCTGGAGCTGGAGTCGTCCAAGGAGCGCATCGAGGAGCTGGAGGTGGACCTGGAGCTACTGCGCTCGGAGATGCAAAACAAGGCGGAGGCCACCCTCAGCAACATCTCCAGCGAGGGCGGCGGCGATGCCGTCGGCCTCTCAACCTACGAGTTCAAGCAGCTGGAGCAGCAGAACATCCGCCTGAAGGACACTCTGGTGCGGCTGAGGGATCTGTCCGCCCACGACAAGCACGACATTCAGAAGCTCAGCAAGGAGCTGGAGATGAAGCGCTCCGAGGTGACCGAACTGGAGCGCACCAAGGAGAAGCTGAGTGCCAAAATCGACGAATTGGAAGCCACAGTCGCCGACTTGCAGGTAAGCTGGCCAGGATTGAAGATTAGTGTTTCCTCCTCTCACCATCCGCTTACCATTGGCGCTGTCGCACCCCTAGCTTGAATAGAAATCCACGGCTTTCCTTGCACCCTTCTATTGGCTTCCGTTTCCTGGCTATCTTTTCCATTTTTTTTGCGAAATAATTTATAAAATAAAGTATTAAGTGGACATCGGTTATGGATTAAACCTCCTGGAATGGAGGGGTCTAGTAACCGATGTCCACCAAATCAGTCCATGCCCAAGTTGTATCTAAAGCGAATCTTCTTCCATTGCCTTTCTTTTTGCTGGCCCGCCTCTAAAAAAAATATAATATCGGTCTCCCAAGGAGGTAAATTTTGTACATTTCTCCATTTCCCCAAAAAAAATTAAAATTTGTTACCTTAATTTAAAGATTTTTTAATGTAAGAATTAAAAAAAAAAGACAAAAATTAATCAATTCTTGCCGCAGGAACAAGTCGATGCTGCACTCGGGGCTGAAGAGATGGTCGAGCAACTGGCCGAGAAGAAAATGGAACTGGAGGACAAGGTGAAGCTGCTCGAGGAGGAGATCGCCCAGCTGGAGGCCCTCGAAGAGGTCCACGAACAGCTGGTGGAGAGCAATCACGAGCTGGAACTGGATCTGCGCGAGGAGCTGGACCTGGCCAATGCCGCCAAGAAGGATGTGCTGCGGGAGCGGGACGCGGCCATTGAGACCATCTACGACCGCGACCAGACCATCACCAAGTTCCGGGAGCTGGTGCAGAAGCTGAACGACCAGTTGACTGACCTGAGAGAGCGCAGCTCCAGCAACGACAAGGAGTCGCTGCAGGATCCGAGCCTCAAGCTGGCCACGGAGACCATCGACTACAAGCAGATGTTCGCCGAGTCCAAGGCCTACACGCGCGCCATCGACGTCCAGCTGCGCCAGATCGAACTCAGCCAGGCCAACGAGCACGTCCAGATGCTGACCGCCTTTATGCCGGAGTCGTTCATGAGCCGTGGCGGCGACCACGACTCCATTCTGGTGGTGCTGCTGATCTCCCGCATCGTCTTCAAGTGCGGCATTGTGGTCTCCCAGACGCGGGAGCGCTTCCCGGCTGTGGACGCCATCACCAGGGAGGCGGTGACCCAGGGCCACGCCGTGCAGCAGTACGCCTTCAAGTGTCGCCTGCTGCACTACGTCCATAGCCTGCAATGCGCCCTGAACCAGATCCTGTACGGCTTGAACAGCTGCCAGCCGGATACGCTGCTGAGGGCTGGCAGCTCCCTGCCGGAGATGGTGGCCCAGGAGAAGATCATCGACGGAATCATAGAGCTGCTTAAGTCGAACCAGTTGGATGAGAACAGCACCACGGACAACATCGAGAAGTGTGTGGCGTTCTTCAACGCCATGAACTCGGTTCTCCTGGCCGGCGAGGAGCTGCTGAACGAAATCCAGATGATTCGCGACTGTGTGGCCTCGCTGGGAGCCGCCTGCGAGAGCATTCTCAGCGACACGGCCACCGCGAAGGTGATCATCCAGGAGGCGGGCGCCACCAGCGACTCGGTGCTGCTCATCCAGTTCCTGAACGAGAACATGGAGAGCGTGCGCCAGCAGGTGAAGCTCATCAAGCGCCGCCTGCCCAACGACCAGCACGTGGTCAAGAGCGGCCTGTCGCAGCACAAGGTGGAGGCGATGCGGGGCTTGGCCCAGAACATCAGCCGCATCATGTCGGCCATGAACCAGGCCACGCGCCAGTCCCTGGCCGCCATCGTGTCCACCATTGAGAGCGACAACGCGGCGGAGCACACGATACCGCAGGACAAGTACTGGTCCCTGCTCTCCGCCGCCTGCGAGCGGATCTACGAGCAGGATGATCGCGGACCCACGCACAACTTCAAAACTCTGCTGACGCAGGCCAACTCCGACCTGCAGCACATTGCCCAGCACCTGCTGGACAAGGAGTACGAGATTATGTCGGCAGCCAATGCGACAGCCGGTGCCGGCCAGCCCCGTTCGGCGGCTCAGAGCACGCCCATCGTGCAGCGGGCGCAGCTCATCAAGAAACAGCTGGAGCAGAAGAACGTACTGGCCGCCACGCTGGAGAACCGCGAGGCGGACATCAAGTCGCTGAAGCTGGCGGCCAAGATGAAGCAGAACGAGCTGAGCGAGATGCAGATCCGCAAGGACCTCGCGGAGAAGAAGCTGAGTGTCCTGCAGAACGAGTTCGAGAGCACGGTGTCCAAGTGGACGCAGAAGTACGAGGAGACGCGCCAGCAGCTCCAGCTCAAGGAGAAGGAGTTCGAGGAGACGATGGACCACCTGCAGAGCGACATCGACGCCCTGGAGAGCGAGAAGAGCGATCTGCGCGACAAGCTCAAGCTGAACTCCAGTTCGGGCAAGAACCAGTCCGCCTCCGATACCCACTCGCCGCACAACCTCTCCGCCGCCGGCTCCGGCCTGGGTACTGCCGGTAGCTCCAACATCAGCTACTCGGCCCCGGCGGGCACTGCTCCCGTTGTCGCCGAGGAGGTGCTGTTGCTGAAGAACGCCTTCAACCAGGAGCGCAGCGAGCGAATGCGTCTCCAGGCCCAGGACATGCGCGCCAAACTGTCCCAGTTCGAGCCCCTGTACGTCCCGCAGCCGCAGGATCAGCGCATCAATGCCCTGGAGTCGGAACTCACCCGGATGAAGCACGCCTGGGTGCTGTCGCTGCTGCAGGTGCGCTCCCAAGATGCCGTGGGAGCCGCGAACATCAATTCGGTGGCCCTCCAGCGGCGTCACCAGCCACTGCCACCCAAGGGCGAGATCAGTTCGAAGGCCTCCCGGCTGGCGTCGGACATCCTGACGGAGTACCTGCACCGGAAGCCACATCGCGCCACTCACGGCCAGTTCGCCTCCTTTCCCACCGTCGACGTGAAGCGTGTGCTTCAGATCTAAGTGGGTCCGGAGGTCCATCATGGCAATTGGAATGGGAATGGGG